GCATTGCAGTTCTTTTGCTTGGAAAAGTGGGAAGACGCCTCAGGAAGAGTGCTGATAAAAACATCACCGTATGAAATTCTTTCCCCAGCCGACTGTTTTCCGATATTGAGTTTCGGATGACTTTAGCATTCAGTTATTTACAGCGGGCTAAAGCAGATGGTTTAGGGATTGGGCACCAGGTTCCCTGGAGAGAGAGTGAGACGGAGGCATGAGTCGATATGTAGATGTGAGGAAAGAGAGTGAAGTGGCAGTAGCTGGCTCACCCTATACTTAATTGAGTCTAGGAGGAACCTTCGCTGGCCACTCTGCAGAATGACTTTGTAAAGGTGAAGACCTGCCCGGTGTGGCTGGGGTTAACTAAAGGAGGCCGAATTCATTGTGTTCTTTCCATCCCTGACAGTCAGTTTTTCACTCCTCAGTGCTAGCAGCTTGTTGTGTCTCTGCACACGGCGTTTCCTTGCTGTGTGTTATGGCTGGTGGCCGTTTAGCAAATGCCGTCATGCACCTTTCTTGTGTCCGTCACGTTTCACCCTCTCAAGTTTTGAGATGGTTGGGGGCAGTCGGTTCAAGCTCAGCCCCCCACCAGCCGACTTTCCCCTGGGGGATGATTGGTTATCCGGTCTCCTAGGTAATCGTGAATGTGCTCTGAGCTGGCATGGTACACCAGGAGACGGGGGTTAGGATCCACAGCATCCTCCCAAGGAGAGAGCATCTCTCTGGAACGAGAATTAGAATTCATTCCAAAAATAAGTGATTAGTTCCCAATTTCTCCTCAAGAATCACACATGAAGCTCACACTCAACTGTTCATTAGGCCGCTTGCAGCTTTCTAACACCCTAGACATCCATTCCAAAGTGTGACTCCCTTTGCTTATAAATGGAAATAGTACATTGTACTCCGACAGCTTCAAGACCAGGTCCAGTGAAAACTTCACAAGGTTTTGATATTTCTGTAACTAGTTTCACTCTGAAGCAGCAACTTCTTAATATTCACATGTTAGCGTTGCACTTCTCTTTATTAATTAGATGTTCACGTGGTTTTATGCTCAGTTTTATCTCAGAAGTATTCTGGCTCCGTAAAATAGGTCACAGGGAAGAACAGGACGTCTGTATTGTTTCCTAACCGAATTTCGGGCAGGCTCTGGCACGGGCCTCTGGCATCCCAGCCGCGGCCATAACAAGGAACAGATGTTCCGATGAATCAGGCCATTGTGGGCCCCCACTGACATTTCCCTGTAATTCCTCTCTCTCTCTCTCTCTCTCTCTCTCTCTCTTTCTTTCTTCTTTACTCTGTCCCTGCAGATTCATATTCCGGTCGTCCAACTCCAAGGCCAAGCCCAGCGGTCCGATGCTGACAGCCACCTTCTGGGGCGAGCTGCCGGACAAGATTGACGCCGCATACGAGAACCCGCTGGAGGAAAAGTCTGTGTTTTTCTCAGGTACGCCGCCCATTGTATCTGGTCACCTGACCATGCTGGATTAAATGTTATGCCCTGGACCAATCAAGAGGTCTCTCGGCGAGGGCTCTGCTTTGTCACCATGTGGTGGGTGGCACCTTCTGCCCTCGTGACTCCTGGGTTGTGGGTACAATTGCTGCACCAGAGTAGTTTTTCTGTGGGAATTTCATGTTGACCCTGTGTTTGCGTGGGTTTATGTCTGTGAACGTGCAGCTTCCGCTCACAGTGGTTGAGGTGAATTAGTGTCTATGAATTGCTCTTTGTGTTAAGAACTGGCCCTTCTGTTCCTGCCTCATGCCCTGTGATTCCTGGGATACTCACCACCACACAGCTGTGATGGAAAAAGAACGGACAGATGTCAGATAAATTCATAAAAAACTCTTGTACTAATGATGGGAAGATTTAACTTCATATTATTTCAGTTTCTTTTGATGGTCATCACACCCATTTAGCCAAACCACAACACAGCCAAAAGTAAAACAAAAAGTTAATTCCTCAGCACATATTTGCTCTTAAAAATTATTAATGTCTGGTAATAAATTATTAGGATTATCCTCAATTGAAGTTCAAGTTTCTCCTCCATTTATGAGCCTCATAAACCCAGTGACATAATGGATCTTTCTAGATAAATTACTCCCTTAACTCCATGCTCCAATACACGTTGTCATGACAGTGGCAGTGAGGGCGATTATGTATGTTTTTGGTTTTTTTTTCCTTTTACGTTCATATTGTTGACAAAAGCATGGGTGGACAAGTAATCAATAATAATAAATAAAAGTCCTCAGTCACTTAGAGTCCTTCAGTGATCAGAATCCCCCATGGTGTTTGAATGGTCCATCTCAACATGTCCCCTCTGGTTGACTCATGTTTTCAGGGAACAAAGTTTGGATCTACACCGCCAGCACCCTGGAGCCAGGGTACCCCAAGGGGCTGCCATCGCTGGGCTTGCCTGACACCCTGCAGCGTGTCGACGCGGCCTTTTCCTTCGGGAAGAGCAAGAAGACCTACATATTTTCTGGCGACAAGTTCTGGAGGTATAGCTTTCATCGTGGAGCCCAAACGCTAGGGCTCCACGAACCTTAGTGATTTCTTCTCTAAATTTCTCTGAGGACTGAATTTTATTATTAATATCACAACCTTGCCATTAGAGTGACTCTTTGTCTATTCTGAATGGACGTCCCAGAAAGCATAATGCATAATCTAGATTCTGATTCTTTTTACGAGTCCTGAGATATGACTCCTGAACAGGAGTGTACAAGCTAAAATGAACACCTTCCCCTTCTGCTCTTTTGTGCGATGCTGATTGGTGATTTAAAGCATTGAATGAAAACATGCTGAGAAACTCCTCCCAACTGCAACCAGGTATAACGAAGCGAAGAATAAGATGGACCCTGGGTTCCCCAAGCTTATCGCGGACGCCTGGAACGGCATCCCGGACAACTTGGATGCCGCTTTCAGCCTGAATGGAAATGGTAAGACGAGACACTTAGCAGGAGCCCCTGATGCAAGACTGCGACTGTCTGCCCCAAGGCCTTTTGCGGACATGCATTTTTTGCGGCCAGGCAGCCAGCCAGGTCTGGGCCCTCATCGCCAACAACAACAATGGCCTACGGCGGCCATGGCTGAGCTAAACTGGGCCACAAAAAAGAGAAGTGCTGTCACTGTAAAAAGAGTCTTGCAGAGGTTTCTGGATCAAGAATGCAATATGCTGCATCTTGTTTATGAGTGAACAGGCTATGGAAACTGGGGCATCCTCTTTAAACTATTGGGATTAAACAAAAGAACAGAGTACGGCCTTTGTGCACTCTGGGCTGATTCACCTATTACCAGGGGCCCCTGGCTGTAAATGGGCGTAGTCCTGTCAGCCACTTGCCAATGGGAGGCCTGCTGATGTGGCCCACACTCTAGCCACGCCCACCTACTGTACAGTATGTGCATACGCAGCATGCAGTGATGGAAAACAGCATTTAATGCTGAGCCCCCTCCAGTGCCTCCCCACAAACACCCCTGGGCCTAGGCGTTAATTAGGCAGTCTGCAGCTAGTTTGGCAGGGACAGTACCACTGTGTTTTTGAGCCAGGGGGGTTCATTTGGGGAGTTATACCCCTCCCAGGTCAAAATGGTAGGATCCTCTCTCTTCTCTATTTCAGCAGAGCAGAAGGGTCATTTTTACATTTTAGGGGTGTTTTTCCTGTACTTCCTGTACTGATGCTGCTAAGATTCTCACCTTCTGCTTTTTCATTTTTCTAGGGTACAGTTACTTCTTCAAAGACTCCTACTATCTGAGGCTGGACGACTCCACCCTGAAGATCGTTAAGGTTGGGGACATAAAAGCAGACTGGCTCGGTTGCTGAGCAACAGCATGGGCCCTGGCTCTGGCCCCTCTGCCCCCTTGTGGCCCTCCCAGGGGGCCCGGCCCCTCCCCAGCATATCTGAGGTCACCACAAACGGCTGAAGCAGAACACCAGCAACACTTGCACCCACATACTGGACTAATCTCGCCACAGTCGAGCATCGTCTGAGCCTCGCTTATCCAAGGGCCCGGTTTAGACCTTAAACTCAACTCTGGCCTGTGGAGCACGACGTATAAACGGAAAAACTGTCCCTTGTTTAATAACAAATTTTTATCTGTAATCTTAAAAAAAGATAAACTTCAGGTGTACAGAAGGTCTAGGCTAAAACTGATTTTAAAAACTGATAAAAAAATAATAAAAAGAAGAAATTCTGTACTCTGTAGTATCACTACTCTTTCTGTTGTGGTTGTTCCTTACTGGGCAGGATGGTAAACCCTGACTGCACAGGGCCCCAACTTCCTTGGCCGGGTTATGCTGTAAAATAGTCCTTTATCTGTCAGATTCACTGGGATGGATTTCATCCCAGTACTCCTGTACTTTTTTTTATAAATCTGTCCAGAAGAAAAGTTTGGACCATATAACTGTCGAAACAGCTCTTTTGTATCTGTCTCTCGCGTTTCACTAACAATACAGACGGTGTCACGGCACTGGTTGCCTGATGGTTGTGTGTAGTGTGCTGCATGGTGGGAACATATCATGAAAGTATTGTTGAATAATCTTTGTATTGTTTCATTATTGTTTGGTTGTTTTTTGTGTATTTGAAAATAACTAGGTCTTGCTCTGTTGCACTTTGGCAATATACATTGTTTGAAAAAAAAAAAGAAATAAAAAACAAAAATCAAACCACGTTTATGAAATTCAACGTCATTCAGGCTGCATGAGCAACATTCAAACACTTTTCCAGAACAGTGATTATTTCTGCAGTATCCTAAGAAACAGTATCTTTTCTTTGAATGCATGCATTTTCACTAATATAGACATTTCGTTGTGTGATTTCACGTCTTCACGTTATTGTCATTTGGAGAAATCTTTAGCTTCTACTATTTTATTCTGTCCTAGGCGGGGAGTATCTCTAATAAACTTTTTGAAACTTTATTTAGAGAAACTCAGCTGGTGAAATTGTTCATAGCAAATGCTGACATCTAGTGACAATAGTGAGTATTGCAGAGAAAAGCGAATCGTTCTCTGCACGGGACATAGGAAGCGGCGGTATATCACTCTTTCACAAAACATACGCTAAACAAAAATACGAGTTATTATGCATTTAAATATAGCCTGGGTAATAGTTAAAAATAGTTTATACATGAGTATTTCGTGATCATTATTACAAACAAAAAAGCAGGTTGCACGCGTTAAAATAATGCGCTCTTATCATTTGTGCAATACGCACCTCAAAACACTAATTACCACATACAGAAACTAGGAAGTGACTCTTCTAAAAGAGGATTACGCCGAACTGCGCGCCGGAGGCGTGGCGCTGAAAGTCCCCGAAGTCCGCCCTCCCTCCTTCGCGATACGTCGCTGATGTGAATCAACCTGTTCAACTTGGACGAAAAAATACCTGCGGCCGAGGAAGGATGCCCATCGAGAGCGTCCCGGCTTAAGATCGCCCGGATCCAGCAGCGAGGATGCGGCAGCGAGTGTTCAGCCTGCCGCGGCAGCAGTCCCTGCTGCAGCCGGCCGTGTTTAATCCCTTTGCGCAAGATTTAAAACTCACAACGGGCCTCAAACTCAAAGTAGGTTTTAAGCTGTTTTACTCTTCGCTTTTAGGCTTTGCTGGTGATGGGAATGCATACGGGATGGTATTAGTCTTACATACAAATCAAACCGTTAAATTGTACATGTAAATATTTTACAATATTACTTATAGTAAAAGATTTTGGTAATACTTAGTAATTTAATTAAAAAGTGTTCGACTAAGATACGTATATTCATAAATACATTAACATGTCTCAGAGATAGTTTCTTGTGACTGGAATTGATAGCTGCATTTCATGGGTAACCGTTCTGGAAAGTGACTGGGAGGGGAAGCAGCATTGAGTGGCTTATCCTGTTTGTCACTGTTATTGTGTGTGTGTGTGTGTGTGGGGGGGGGGTTAGATATATTTTACATTGTTACTTTGTGGGGACGGTCCCCACAATGTGATAAAGACTGGTTATTTTTATGTTCTGGGGGCCATTTCTTCGGTCCCCACAAGGGGAAACTCAATTTCATAAAAACCTGTGACTCCAATCAAAAAACCAAAACTGTCAAATGTCTTGCATTTTGTTTGGTTACTTATGGTTAAAATTAGGGCTGGGTGGGGGTTAAGGTTGTGATTGTTGCGATTACAGTTTTTCCTATAGAAATGAATGGACAGTTCCCACAAGGATATGACTACAAGTCTGTGTATGGGTGTGTGTGCGCGCGAGCATGTGTGTACATGTCTGGGTGCATGTCCTGCTGTCCTGTCCTGCAGTGCATGGTCCTGTGTGTGGGTGTGTGTGTGTGTGTGTGTGTGTGTGCATGTGTGTGTGTCTGGGTGCACGTCCTGCTGTCCTGTCCTGCAGTGCATGCTCCTGTGTGTGTGTGTGTGTGTGTGTGTGTGTGCATGCGTGTGTGTCTGGGTGCACGTCCTGCTGTCCTGTCCTGCAGTCCATGCTCCTGGGTGTGTGCATGTCTTACTGCATGTATCCTGTCCCCACAGTGCCTCCTTCTTGGTGTCCTCCTGGTCCCCCTCCGCTGCCTCCTCCTGCTGCTCCTGCTCCTCCTGGCATGGCCCATTGCCGCCGTGGCCACTCTGCTGCTCCCGCTGAAGGGGAACGTGGAGCCCATGTCAGGCTGGAGACGGTAGGTGTGGGGAGCCAGTGGAAGCTGCAGAGATTCCCTCAAACTGCAATAGATCCGCTTGGTGGCTGCAGGCTTCAGATGAAAAATTACACTATAGGAAATGTAGGTGCAGCATATTCTGTACGTTACAGGAATAATGAAGCTTTGTTCTTACACTCCGTAAAAAGCCCAGCATTTATTGCTGTTTCAGCCTTTTTTTTAACCCAACACCTGGTGTTTCAAAACACCTGCGACTAAGTTGCCATTTTTAACTATTAACTCCGTGCAGGCAGGTACACAGCCACCCATTCTGAGCGACATGCTACAAGGACGAGATGAAATAAACAACCTTGGCCTGGATTTGGCCTGGATGTCTGATGGACATTGCAACCTTTAGAAAAAATTCAGTTCTTTTCATTTTCTTAAAAGCAGGATCAAGACATCACACTCCAAAAATAGATTTTTGACCAGATGGGCAAACACACCATAAAAACGTCACCACTTTCATTAACAAATGTTATCTTTATCTCCAATGGGACCAGTCGTGGTGATAAGTTCCCCGTCCTCACTTTTGCAGCCTTGCACACGAGCAAACGTTTGCATCCTTTATTCTCAGCAGTCAGCCTTGCTGGAATACCACTGCTTTGCAGACGAAACCTCGCTGACTCAAGATTCAACCAATCAGACTAGAAGTAGAGCCCTAAAAAAAGGACAGAGGAAAACCACAGAGTTTCACACTGAGTCAGACTTTGCACTGATCGTACATAAATTAATGGTTCTGAATGAAAACTCTGGTGGAAGCTGTTTTTTCCGTTATCAGACATTTCTTCATTTATGCCTGGTTCTCACACCCGTTTGCTTTTATTTATCGCTGTTTAATTTTGTGTGACCTCAGCCTACTGATTCCCACCGGTCACATGATTATTTGCAGCCATATATATGCGGGGATTTCACCCCGGTGAAGTACCTGCTGCATAATACAAGGTCTCACAATGCTTTCCTGCAGGCATGCTCTGTTTGCATCCGCTGCGTCTCAGAGCGTGACATTTGCAGTTAGCGGCTTTTCCTGCAGGGTGCGCTAGATTGCGCCGTGCCTTACCCGCCTCCATTCCTTCCGTGGCAGGTGCCTCTCCTGGGTGGTGCTGGCAGGATTTGGCCGCCTGGCCTTCTGCATCATGGGATTCCGGGTGTCGGTACGTGGCCGGCGGGCTGGGAGCGCCGAGGCCCCCATCCTGGCTGTGGCCCCCCACTCCAGCTACTTCGACAGCATCGTGTGCATCGTGGCCGGGGCGCCCTCCACCGTGTCCCGCACGGAAAATCTGTCCGCGCCCATCTTCGGACGTGAGTGTCTGACCTTGGAGCTTAACGCTAAGCTGGAGCTTCGTGCTGCTTATAAGCGCTTTTTAAAACATTAAGTTCAGTACATCCACCTGGGATCGGCCTGTCCTGAGCAGGGTTGCAGTATTTTTTAAGATTACAGATGCCGATTTTTTTTGGGCCCCTTGTCAACCAGGGGCCCCTGGAATCCTCCTAACTTACTTTGCCCTTATGACAGCCTTGAACTGTGAGTATGGAGACATCTGGGGTGCCAGGTGATTTCATGGTAATCCGTAGCACCCCCCCCCAGATTGGGACTTGAGTTCGCAATTGCTCTCTCTCATGTGCGCGGCCCGGTTCCTCCCACATCCGCTGCAGGATTCTTGCGCTGTCTTCAGCCCGTGCTGGTCTCACGCCTGGACCCGGACTCCCGCAAGAACACCATCCTGGAGATCGAACGGAGAGCCACCTCTGGGGGCAGGTGGCCACAGGTAGGCGGGGGGTCAGGAACGCCGTACGTGTAGATGAGATATACACCGGGGTTGTACCATTCACTTTTTGTCACCCTCACCCCCCCATTTCTGTGTCCTACTTACACAACTCTCAGAGCAGCAGTAATGGTCGCCTTACAGTAGATGTTTGTCAGACTGTTACAGCCGTTTACCTACAGTTTTATGCATCATATGTTCAGATCAGACTGTAAATTGGCAAAATACAAAATCCTAAGAGATCTGTAGCACAGCACATCATGGATCCAGGAAAATCAACTCAAAGTGAATGTAAATTTCCGAAACTCAGTCCATTTTGTTGTTCTTTTTGAGATGAGACCACCAAGGACCCCAAATCAGGCTTCCTCATCATATGTTACAGTATTGGCAACCAAAACTCACTCAATCCACATCTTGTTGTTTTTGAGACAAGACCACCAATGACCTAAAGTCAAGATTTCTCATTGTATGTTAAAGTACGGGGAACCAAAATTCAGTCATGCCTCATGTAATCCCATGAAGAACTTTAGTTAAATTACCAAAACTCACTAAATCCACAGATTTCTTACTTACTTACAAACCTATTGCATCCACATATTCCATGGACTGAGGGAGTTTTGGAAATTTGCTTTTCCATATTTGCTTGTGTTGATGAGTACCTCACAAGTTTGAGTACCTCACAAGTTTGAGTACCTCACAAGTAACTGTATTTTTTCCGCATTTTACTCTTTATATTACTGCTTTTTAAATCATGCATAGGATGTAAAGATGTGACGTCGTGAAGCACCAGAACATCACTGTAAATACTGACTGAGCCGTGATTTTATCAGGGTTGCCACTTTGACCAGACGCTACACATGCCGTACATCAGATACCGTTTGTTTTCCTTCGGCTGCTGTAATCGCGGTCGAGTTTGGTTTGCTGCTCTCTGCACCTGCAGATGAGTTCGACTGAGCCACACAAAGGAGCGCAGGCAGCAGATTGTTTGCCGCGAGGTCTGATGCAGACTTTGTGATGAATTCATGTCATGGATGAAATGACAGAGTATGCTAGGTGGCCTTAGAAAAAAATGACACACAAGAAGTCACTGCCATCAAAACTCATTTGTGTTTTTCAGAAATGTGAATCCCTGAACATCCTGGAAAAAAAAGATGTGAAAAGGGCCCGTCTTACTTTCTGTCTTTTTTTTGGTTTTCAGTTTATATCGTTAACTCGGGGAATATTACCCAGGAGACAGAGAGCTTGTCACTGCTTTGTCTCTTGACTTGGTGCTTCCAAATGTTTTTCCTCCCCTCTATCTTCTCCTTATTCCCGGTACGAACTCTCCATCTTTTATCAGCTTCAAAAGTCAAGGCTCGATTTTGACTCCTGTCACAGTGGGGAGGGGAGAGAGGATAGGTAGGTGATTTTCCCCCCCACATTTTGCCGCGGAGACATCACGACTTCAGAAAGAGTCTTCATGCGGTTTCATCTTCTCTCCCAGCCTCACAAACAATCACTCAGAGTTTGCTGTATCGCAGGCTTGGTACCAAAGTACCACAAAAGCATTTAATCTTGTCAATATGGAGATCGTCACAAGTTCAGCGCGGGCTGTTGATCATAGACACAGTACTTCGCTATGTTCCCACCAACTTGCCTCACACAGAAGAGGATGTACGTGGTTTGAGGAATAAATGAATTTCTTATCGTAGGCTTGTAAAGAAATATGCACATTCAGTCAAAATATTTATTTCATTTTTCCGAAGGTCCTAATTTTCCCGGAAGGAACCTGCACGAATCGGGCCTGTCTCATTACATTCAAACAAGGTAGGTGCATTTTGGCCGTGTCGCAGCAAGAGGCCAGAAGGATAAGGCTGCAGCCGGCCCCTTTCAGCCCATAACAGCTGCGTTGTGCAAGCGAGGTCGCATGTTTCTCAGTGCATTGGTGGGGGTGACGGGAGCTTGCAAAAGACTGATAGCCATCAGTGGGAGAGGAAATGTGGCATGCAAATTGCTGCGCATTTGCAGCATGGAAACAAGGGTCACATTCATTACTGCCTTCTGACCCCCCCACCCCAGAAGGTAGCTTGTGCGAGTGGGGGCAGGATGTCAGTAAAGCTCCTTTGTGCCAAATCTCCTGGAAGAGGCTGGCTCAACGAGGCCCAGCCATGTGTTTAGACCCTGTGAAATCATTTTGCATTGATGACCTGCTTGTGGAAATGCGTTGCGTATTAGCGTAGCCTCCTGCAGACCTGGCACAGTCATGCAGCCATGCATGCATCAGGCCTGGTAGAAAAAAACAGGAATGGCAGCATCACTATACGTGTCGGATGTTGTGTCTTCAGAGTCACGTCGTTTTCTCCCAGGTGCCTTCATTCCTCGAGTCCCAGTCCAACCAGTGCTCCTGCGATACCCCAACAAGCTGGTGCGTACCCTTCAGTGACAGCCCCCTACACCCCACAAAAATCCCTCCCTAAAAACACAGCACAGTTCGTTATCCTGTACAAAGTAGCTTGTCATTGTCACATTCGGCACCAGTCCGACTTGATGCTGACATTTCCGGTTTTCCAAAGGACACGGTGACTTGGACTTGGCAGGGGCCGAAAGGGTGAGTGTGATTTCCCCGTCGGAAGAGTCGGCTGACTCACGCCTCTCTGGAGTCAGTTTTTCTCCTTCTCTGTACCTCATTTCCAACACAATAGCAACATGGCGTGTCTTTCAGGGTGGGGTGGAGTTATGCTGGTCCGCTGTGGGAGAGCATGAGTGTGAGATATTAGGACGTGTCGGTACAGAACTTCACAATAACATGATCACCCACCCAGGGACCAAACGCCTGGGCTTGGTTCTAATTGACAGGAGGTGTTTTCACATAGTTAATCTTCCTGTGTTGCTCTAAACTACCCTAGATTTAACTCTCACTATATACAATACGTACATATAATATAAAGTGGTCAATTAGTCAATAATGAGGTCAGAGTGAGAGTCTGGTGGATTCCCCATCGTAATGAGCCACGGGGGGCAGGGGGCTCATCAGTGCAGTCACAAGGGTGTTACCACATACTTTATGAAATACTTGCCTGCCTGAACAAGAACTTCTCCATTTTAGGGGGTGGTAGACATTCTGCTTTGCACATGCAGAGTCAAAGCCTGAATATGGCTGTCAAACGCGTATATAACACGATTCCAAAATGTCTGTCTGCTGGCTGTCATCTTGGCCCTAGCTGGAGGCCTACTTCAGGGGCGGGGGGGACTTCAGAACAATTCCAAGGGCCCCGGTCAGTCAGGGGCCCTAAAAATTTTCTGGCATAATTAGATTGGTCTGGGTTGGGGGCCAAATATGATACGGGGCCCAGAAATCCATAGCATCACCCCTGGCTTCCTTCCTGCTTCTAACTTGAGTGTTTCTACTTCACAGGAAGATGCTCTTCCTCCTCACCCTCTGCCAGCTGTACACCAATGTGGAAATTGAGGTAACAGCAGATGATTGTGGACCTTTTGAACCTCAGCAAGCAGCTGCTAAACACTGATGTTCAGGGATTCTTCCTAGGGAGAGGTGTTCAGCCTGTAAGGTCTCTCAAAGTTCCTGAATCTTTCTGATAATTGTTCAAAGACTATGAATTATTAAGCACTAATGAAATAGTGGGATTCCTATGTTGGCATTGGATATGGTAAGGAGGCCATCTTTGTGATCTAATTCAGGAACATCTCTAAAGCATCTTTCACATCAAGTTTGAGTGATGGTACCTTGTACCCAGGGCGCCGCCCTAGTGACTGCCCATTGTTCCCTGTCCTCCAGTTCCTGCCCCCGGAGATCCCTGGGGAGAAAGAGAAGGCTAACCCCACGTTGTTCGCCAACGCTGTGCGGAGCGTCATGGCAACGTGAGAGTCTCCGTTGCTCGATAAATAGCTCATGGCCAGTTGAGAGAGGCTGACACTTTGTAATATTTCACAATAGTTGCTTAAACATGACATTACTGTTACTTACGTGTAAGCTTATCTCATTATCACTTCATGTACTGTGTTGTAACTTGCATTTCTGCTATAATCTATCTGTCTATCTTTCTGTCTGTCTGTCTATCTGTTTGTCTGTATATCTATCTATATCTATTTGTCTGACTGTCTGTCTCTCTGTCTCTGCCTGTTGCAGTGTGAGTTTGGGTAAATCTATGTTTCTCTGTGATACTTTTCCTATTAGTGTGTATACACCTGTCCTGTCAGGAAATCTGCATGTCTAATATCTCTTACATGTGTCAGTGTCCATAACTATCCATGTGTACTCCTGCCTGTCACATAATGGATGTGTGTGTGTGTGCGTGTGTGGGCAGGGCCCTGCATGTCCCAGTGACAGACCACACTTATGAAGACTGCCGCCTGATGATCTCTGCTGGGGAGCTAACCCTGCCTATGGAAGCTGGCCTGGTGGAGTTCACCAAGATCAGCCGCAAGCTGAAGTAAGCTGGGCGTGGGGGGGCGGGGGAGAGGAGGCGATCTGCCTGGCAGCCAATCAGTTTGTACTTCTGCTAGCAGAGCCCTCCTTCAGCCATAATGGTGACCAGTGGCTCGGTGGATAGCACTGCCGCCTCGCACCTCCAGCGCTGGGGGTTTGAATCCTTCCTCTCTTCTGTGTGTGATGTTGCACGTTCACTCTGTGTTGCATGGCAACCATGAGTAACTGAATTAGTCCATTTAGTGGTTGATAGCATCACCACTGACGAGCCCCTTTCCTGGCGGTGTCCGTTGTTGGTTTTGTGCTTCAGCCTCAAGTGGGACAACGTGAAGAAGGAACTGGAGGGCTTCAGTGCCATCGCCCAGTCCTGCCAGGGCGGCCGCATCACCTTGGAGGAGTTTGCCCACTTCCTGAAGCTGCCCGTCAGCCGCCCGCTGGAGGAGCTCTTCAGCCTCTTCGACAGGGTGAATGAGTGTGCACACAACACCCTCTAGTGGCGGCAAACAGGAACTCCATCACATTTATTTATAATCCTGTTACAATTTCTTTGGTTTGCTTTCACACATTCAGACTTTAAATAAATGCATAGCCTTGTTCTACGGTAAATGGCTTGTATATGTGGTTATATTTGTACTATTTAAATGAAAGCGCTTGTCATTGTGGACACCACAGTGAAATGTATCCTCTGCATTTAACCCATATGTGACATAGCAGTGGGGAGCCATTATTTAGCACACAGGGAGCAAGGTGTAGGGGTGCGGCCTTGCTTATTGGGGATTCGAACCAGCAACCATTCAATCACAAGCACACTTCCCTAACCAATAGCCCACCCTTAGTCCTTGGGTAATCTTGAGTCTGCAGGCCGACGTGTTTTTCTGTATGTGCTGTTGAATCAGCCTGGTAACTGTCCCCGTGAGGCGCTGTGAAAGGGCTGATCTCACCTCTTTCTCTAGAATGGAGATGGAACCATCGACTTCAGGGAGTACGTCATTGGGGTGACCATTCTCTGCCGGCCTGCTAACACCGACGAGACCATCCAGATGGCCTTCAAGGTGGGATGGGAGTATTCAGGAAGGGGGGGGGGGGCATACAGGCAGTCAGAGGCCCCTCCCCAGTGGATTGCCCCTTCGTTATCTTATTAGTGTTTGACAGCTCTTATCTGTAGACTGAACTTGGTGTAGTGATATATCCTCTTCCTCTCCTTTCTTCACTCTTTCTATCTCTCTGCACCAGCTGTTTGACACAGACAAGGACGGGAACATTACGCACAGTGAGTTCTCGGCGCTGATCCGCTCCGCCCTGGGTGTCCCCGAGCTGGACGTGTCCCGGCTCTTTAGCGAGATCGATGTTGACAGCTCTGGACACATCACCTACGGTGAGTGGGGGTTTGGGCGGCTCTGCGGCGCCCGGGAGCCATTTTTACTTCTCCGTGTTAATGGCATGCAAAGAGCGGACTTCTGTTTCCACTATGAGGACCCAGAGTGTCCGCAGGGTCTTATAAGTATTTGAAAAGTGTTGAGTTTAATATTCTCAAATTAAAGCCTTAGAAGTAGTGAATTTTATTTACAAAAGTCTTCATTTTTTTGTTGAATGAAAGCAAAACGTTTTGCACATGGATACTCACAAGTGTCACTTTCACCCAAAATATGAGCAGTCAAGCCTTTTCCAGAACTTGGTGAATAATTATTTTCTGTGGCTTAAAATCCATACTGATTTTTCTTTACATCCTTCATACTTTTGTCAGTATGGCTGTGAACTCAGCAATAAATTTCATATTAAGTGGTATTAAAACAGTGGTATTAAAAGTCTGAAATTTCACTTGGAGAACACTGGAGGTGCCCTGACCCTTCTGCCTTTTGAAACCTAATAAAGTATTTTGTCAGTGTATCTTTACAGCAGAAGAGGGTTGCAACAGTGTGGTAACTGTACAGTATATTCCAATACTGCGGGTTTTTTTATATAGATATCATGGTTTAAGCCCCTCCCCCCCCGCCCACAACACTTCCCTACCACTCAATAAATAACATAAACATACATGGGAAATTTAGTGTATCAGTGTATTTAAGTTAATTCTTATTAATTTCTGTAGCTGCATGATATATGCATGGCATATGGCCCATATTAGCACTCAGGTCTCAGCCATGCCATGTCTTTTAATCATTACTAAATCTGGCCCGTTCATCGATCGATTGGTTTCCACAGAGAACGACAACCTGTAAGCTGTGGTAATATTCACTGAGCCTGAATATTCAGAGCCATGGCTGCTTCCCCTAAAGCGTGTCTGTGCCTCTCACCAGAGGAGTTCCGGACCTTTGCGCTGACCCACCCTGAATACGCCAAGCTGTTCACCACTTACCTGGAGCTGCAGCGGTACCATGCCCTGCAGGGGATGGAGCCTGAGACCAGCCGACCTGCCAACAGCGTCTGCCCTGAGGACACGCAGGAAGACAGCAGCTCTGACAAAAAAGAGGACTGACACTGGACTGGTGGCAGGAGTGATGGGACAGTCTTGGTGAGACTGGTTGAGGCAATGAAACAACCAGTCATTATCCAATTTGCCCCTTGACACAGCCCCTAGACCTCTTTGCCACGCCCCTAGACCTCTTTGACACAGCCCCTAGACCTCTTTGACACGCCCCTAGACCTCTTTGACACAGCCCCTAGACCTCTTTGACACGCCCCTAGACCTCTTTGACACAGCCCCTTGACCTCTTTGACACAGCCCTTTCACCTGTTTGATGTCTTCCATTTTAGGAATGTACAGTGATTGCTGCTGCAGGTTTTTTTCTCCTAGGATTGTCACGTGTTTCCTGCTGCCCCCTGTGGCCAAGTTTAGGAAGTCTCTGCCCATGCTCTGCTCTGATACTGCTTTTCCTGTTTGACTTGCTATGCTTTTTGCCGTTGACAACCTTGCAGTGTGACCTCAGTGACCTGTAGCCAGGCCCGCCAGAGTGACAAGTTGAGTATTTTCATAGAAAAAGACGTTTCCACAATCAGGGTGGCCCATGAGGGGGGAGAAAGGGAAGACTTTGAGGGTCCCAAATGATCAATCTGCCAACAGCCCCCTCCCCCAAGAGGCCCAGTCTGTGCAGCCCTGTCTGTGATGCGTCTAGGTGTAAGACTGGGATGTGGTTCAACGCAGTGACATATTGGCATGAGCTCCTGGATTTTGTGGCTGGTGTTCTGTTGCTTGAGAAATGGAAAAGATGAGTAATTGTCCAACAGACTTTCAATGAGTTTTGAAGGGAAGGGAGGGTTGGAAAGACAAGAACCCGGATGGTTTTTGCATAATGGCAGATGTGTGTACAGTACGTGTGTTTAGTGAGATTTTCTGTTTCGTTGTGGTGACTATTTAGTGGAACAAAGTGAACAGGTGTTCTTCTTTTGACATAAGTGGTGTAGTGTCATTTTTAAAATATTCCAATAAACTTTTACACTTTGTTTTGTTTTACACTGTTTTAGTTTTTATCTGAAGAGGATCATGACATCTTACCTCTTAGGCTGTTATGGTCACATTGTGCCCATATCTGCATCTTATCAATGCCCACGAAGGTGACATATGGGACACCTGCTGTTTGGTGCTGCTCCGTTTGGAATCACTAGATGGCAGTATCCCTCCACACGTTGAGGCCGATCCTTGAGAGCACCATGTCTGTGCGCGTGACCGTCCCCGATGCACACTTCCGCACCTCCGCCGTGTCAAATCCGGACACACAGGGCCACGGCGCTCAGCAGGGCCACGGCGCTCACATCCGCCCCCAGCGAGCCAGCCCGCCGGACTTGGGTCTGCCTTGGCGCTCAGCGGTCTCCTGGGATTCTGGCTCTCGGAAAAGTAAGTGCAACCCCCAGCTCTGTCATCCCGGGGCAGCCTGTGAGAGCGTTCTGCTCCTTCTCCTGCCTGCCTCTCACTCTGGTCACTTTCTCCATGACATACATCCTCTCTTTGTGGTGCATAGCTGCCTCTGTGAAATCTATACCTCAAAACTTTATATTCATGAAAAATCATGGTATATTCTATTTCATTTATTTCCTTTATTTTAAATGTTTCACATAATCGATAGACAGCAAAAGCAGATGTTTGAGCACGGTCAGCAGTTTGTAAGATGAGGTGTCTTGTCCATCCATCCAACACCAGGTTGCTTATCTTGGTCATAGTTGGTTAGGAAGGAGTTAGGGTTAGGGTTAGGGTTAGGACAGAGCAGGGGGAGGAGGTGTGTCCTGGACAGGATGCCAGTACATTATAGGGCACACACACACACACAATTTAGAGATGTTGGCTGACAGCCTGTCTTCGGACCACATGATTTATTAAAGTACCCAGACTAACCCCTCATGACAGACCAGGCAAACTCTACGCATATGGAGTGAAGGTGGGGCTGAACCACTCAACGCTGGCCTGCACTGGGCAAATGGCTTGTGTTTTAATCTATGCCTCTATCAAAAATGGATATTGACTGTGCAGCTCAGTACAACACGAGTCAGGTGGGGGGTGAGTGTACTGTATAACGTCTAATAGCAAGGGAACTTCCTTTTTTTGCTGTGGAGATAATGGCTAATATATATGTATGATATATAAACCATCTGCTTTGTGAATTGCTAAAAATACATCTCCTATGCTATATTTGACACTCATCGCAAAAATGACCTTGTTTTAAGAATCAGTTGACTTAAATGAGTAGCAGAATCACTGATAAAACATTCACTGCACTATCTGAGACAGAACATATTTTTTATAATTCAAAACATCTGTTAATTTATAAGTTTTCCCCAAAGTACAGTTTTTTTTTGCGATCGTAGACAATTTCATTACATTGTTCTTCAACTGCGAATGATAAGATTAAAATTAATTGACGGAAATAAGCAAGATAAATATTTTTAAATGCCTGATGTTCAACATACGAGTATTGAGTGCTGTGCTGAACCACGCAGCAAATTTCATGTGCAGTATTGGGCTATTAGATCAGGATTCCTCACACATTTAAAATAAACAAACAGAGCTGAAGTTGATTAAGTCCCTGCTTTTGGGTAGACTGCCATTATCGACAGTGATTTCCATGCACAATATGTTTTAACCTTTTCAGAGGAGAAAACCCCGTTTCACTTTAATCAGAAGTGATAAGGTTACGAGAAATCAATTAAGTCAGTTTGCTGCTGATTTCTTTGTCGTGTAAGCTCTCGATATTACCGTGTCCATTTCAGCTCAGCCCGAGGAGAGCCTGTCCAGTCAAATTGCAGACAATCAACGCCATTAATCTGGTTTACTTTCAGCACCTCCTTACAGCAAGCCAATTACCCTCCGCTCCACAGACCCTATAAAACGAATGAGGGGCTTTGGATTAAAAAGGTCAGCTTTGACAGCCCAAGCGGCTGGGCGGCACAGTGCGGCTCGGAGCAGCAGGAAGGCCCCAGCCCGCCATTCTGACGGGAGCAGGATACTGGCTAATGTTCTCGTTCTCAAGTAGAATTTACGAAGAGGGGTCCCGACTCAAGGAACTCGCACGGTTCTCTGCAGTGGAGATGATGCAGATCTTCTGCATGTTGTAGACGGAACCACAGAGATGTTCCTCGCACTGGAAGCTGTTGGACGGGCCAGGGGAAGCGTGTCCCCACCTATCCTGTTTAGGCTCAGGGCCTCTGTGGCCCCTGGCCTTCCACCAATGGGGTCCATTCATTCCTGTAGTCAGTTCATCCTAGACGTTTTACCAAATTTCAAACCACATCTCATTCCTGCAGTTAAATATGTTGCTTCTGCACTGGATGATTTCGTGGCTTCTAAGACATTTCCGTTTATCGTGAACACCATTCCAAACACCTGCTTCACATCGTCTGCGGCCTTTCCCTGCGTGTTACAGTGCATATAAAGGGCAGTTTGGGCAGTAAAGGGGTAGGAGGCTATTTTCTTAGTTTAAGAGGAGCTTGTCTAAAGCAGATGAGCAGCACCTGTGTGGGAAGGCCCCTCCAGAAAAGGGTCACCAGCCTCCACCCCAAACCACTCCCCCACCCATATAAATAAGAATGTCAGTAATAGTTGAGTGGGCATGAGGAGAGAAACCCAGTGAAAGGTCTCCACCTGTCGTTTCACTGGCCACCCTAAAGCCAAATCCTGCCTGTTTCTCCCAAAGGTAAGAGATGAGGACGGTCTCATGATGTCATCTTTCGCACTTCAACAGCTGAACGTGTTACTTGCCCGCTGTCACCTGATTGACTGCTTGTGGGGTTCAGATCAATCAATAGTGATGTATGTGCAGTCAGGGGGACTGCTTCCGTGCATGGGTAAACAGGGCCTGCAGAGGATCATGGGAATTATAACACTGGTAACATTTTTCAGGCCTACTGGCTGTCTCAGTGGGTTGCCACCCCGAGTGTTCCGGCAGGGTGTGGCTCAGGATGATATCAGAGGGTGCGCTCTGTCTACAGGCTGAACAAGCTTCCTGAATGCTGGTACTGGTGATGGTTTGCAATCCATGTACTGAGCACACTGTCTACTGAACACAGTTGCTGTTTGCACTGTACCGAACAAGTCCACTGATGTTCATCTCCATGTATAGGACAGTGTTTCTGTTTTTCCAGCTTTTGAACTTTAATAGATGAGGAAACATTAGGGCAGCACATGATTATAAGGATATATGTCTCTAGTTCTAGAAGCTGCAGTAAACTTTAAAAACCACACATCCACTGACAAGTGTTTGTGTGGATCTTTACTTACGCAGCAGCACCGCTGATCCATGGTAGCAGTGATGGCTTGGAACAATCCAAGAGCTTCATGCTGGAGTTACTGTTGTGTTCTGTGAATGTAGGGACAAGTACAGTCTGTTACTCAACATATCAAAATCTCCTTAGTCTCAAATATTATATCACTGAATGTTTATGTTGAAAATATAAATACATTGAAATTTATATTGTGTTTTTGTTTAAGAAACAACTTTAGTATTTTGACATGCTTCTAAGCTAATTGCTGGCCATTTATTCTATAAATGGGTCACTAATTGGGTTCGTCTGTCATAACTGAGGGTGCAGCTGTACTCTATGGGGTCACATGTTCAGCATTAAACTGGCACGGCCTTAAATCTGTCAGCTTTGACGTTAATCTCATGAAGGATGGCTCTTGTAGATCCCAGGCACTCAGATTTTCTGGGTCTATATGACTATGCTCTGAAAGATCCAAAGACTCCTGAAATTAGTTGTTTGACCATTGGGCTAAATGCCATATGAGGAAACAGAGAGGGGGCCAGATTCTATAGAACAGAAACCCCTGATTTGTCCATGTAAGTAATGAAGGCATCAGGCACCTTTATCCAAAGCAACTTACAGTTGAAGGAAGTATTACAATTAATGTGTGAATCTTTGGGGTTTGAACTCAAGACCTTTGTGCCGGTAGCATAATGCTCTACTTGTCCAACTACAGGAGCTCTATTACAAATGCCTCTTCTTGTTTGCATCCAGCAAGGAAAATCCTTGTGATATTTGCACTGGGGGGGGGGTGCTAACCTTGTACAGAAGTAGACCAAAATAGGCTTAGCACTGGCAAGGAACACTGGAGTCTCAGAAAAGATGTGGAATCAGACCTTATAAAGACGGCACCGAAGGTATATATGTCTTTATATCTGAATAAAGGAATCCACCTGCAAACTAATTCCACCTGGGAAATTAAAACGTCCATCTGTCCCTCTGTTGGTGTTCTGCTAAAGGTTTCCATTTCAAGATGATTCTGAAGATGAATTCGCCCATTCCTGTTATTAAAAGCACATAGTTTATTGGAAAGACTCGATGGCTTTCCTCCATGCCAGTTAAAATTCCTTCATGGTTAAAAAACGAGCAGCACCTCGCGTGCTGCGGGCTCGTGGGGCCGTCTTTGAAGATAATGTCATAAGGCGGAGAGCACTAGGGGTCAGATCCGAATACCTCACCCAGTAACCCCTTTAGGCAGTTGTGAAATCACTTTCACCTTTCATTACGCTCATTGCCCCGGAGACATAGCTGATGTCTCATACTCAGTCGCGGTGAGAGCTGGGCCTGTAGGCAAGGTAAGGGGGGGGGGGGGGTTGTGGGGCTCCTCTGGGTGCCAGGAAAGGCTTGCCAGCTGGCCCACCACCGCAAACAGGAAGGGCACCCCAGACTGCAAGACAGCCCATCCGGACAGGGTCCTGTCTGTTGTGGAACGGATCCTGCCACAGGGGTAATTGGTTTTGGAACTGATTTAAGGATCTATATCCACAACAGGACATTATTCTAACAACATAAAAAGGCAGGTCTGACAGTCCAGGATAAGGAGCTTCATTCCGGTACCATTTGCCACTCTGGGTCGTATGAATGGTACCATCTAATGACAGTACAGGCTACAGCTTGGAAAGCCTGCTGTGAACTTGGTTAGCTGGTTAGCATTGTTCGGAAGCTGTCACCATTTCTGTAACTCTATAACTCACATTGGACCTCTAACTATCAACATTTATTCACAGTTTAATATTCCTCTGAAATCTCCTATAACGCCACTAAATGAGAGGTTAATTATTAAATATTTCATTTACAGACATTATGTTGTGTATGATGTAATATTCAAAAGTCAAATTAAAAAAATATTGTGGGTGACATTCTGTACCTGGTTTCCTTGCTTATTTTTGCTTAATCTAGCCCATGTGGTAACGTTTTAAAATTGCTTGAGTTGGGATGCAACCACGCAGAACGCTACGTGAATCACAAACAAACAAATAAACAAACAAGCAAAGAAATAGCAGAGGCTTTTAACCATAAATACTGTTTTTCTTTTAGCGTTACCCGCGCATCAATAGACGGACAAAAACACCCCTTTTAAGGTTTTATAAGAGAGGCACTGGAGAGTTTTAAGGGGACTATCACTGACTTTAATACGATGACCTGATCAACCATATCTAATAGAACACATAGCCCGTGGCAAAAGATGGTGAACAATTCGATTATACACGGAACACAATGCTTTTACGGCTTCTTAGAAATCAGTAATTTAATATATTTTGAACAAGAGAAAAGAAACAGACAGATTAAATCGAAAGTATAATGTTCCTTGAATGTTTGTTTTGTTTTTGGTTTTTTGCCGTATTTTTGCCGTATATATACTAAACATTCACATCAAGGTTAATTATTAAAGTGCTTAGAGAGAACGGGTATTTTATAAGGATTTAAAATTCCACTCACATTTTCCCCACAGCATTCAATGGGTTTTTTGCAAAGTGTCTCGCAAAGTATGTTTTATCTTGTATAATTTAGTCATTTTTAAAGTAGGGTTTCATTAAGCGTGTTTTTCTACGGCCTAATGTTGATTGTTTTTATTCTGACTTTTGGTAAAGATGAACCAGGCATCAGCACATAAATTGACGACGAACCTTAACGCGGATTCGGATAGTTGGTTGTAGCGCGACGAGCAGCAAAGGCGGGCGTTGGGGGCACGAAAAAAGTGCAATTATAAGATATCACGTGGGAAAAGTGGAGGCTGATTTAAAAGCCCTGAATTTATTTTGCCTGCAGCCTCACGGACGGCGGAGACTTAAAGTTTGGCCAGGATGGGCATTCGCTCCGCAGACGCATCTGGACACGGGGAGAAGCGGACGATGGACCTGCTGTCGGCGCCTTAAGTACGGAGCGTCTCCTTCGCGCTAACAGCTTTTCGCGCTGCTTAATCTACACGCATTTTATCTGACTTTAAAGCGCTGACCAAATTGAACGTCGTTTATTCAGTTACGTTTTTGCGTTTTCCTCATTCTGCAAAGGTATCATCGGCGGATCCTCTACAGTAGTCTATATATCACTGTTCATGCTATAATCAAACAGTCGAAACGTGTAAACTTAAACAATAGTTGCTGTTTTTTTTTGTTAATTAATTGATATTCTTTATTGAAACATTTTGAATGCTTAGTAAGCAATTTTAGTGGTTTCTATATTACAGGTGTTCAGGGTGACATATGCGTAGCCTATGTAAATGTAGACTATACAAAACGTTGCATTCATTACTATTATCCGGCATTTGTTACATGAAATACGAGATGTTTGTGTCATTCATGTAATTAATTTACGGATATCTATTCACTTTATGAAATTCCTTTCAATAAGTAAATTCCCATGTTATAACTTACCTAATTTAACTTACTCGCGGTGTACCTGAAAGTACCCGAGTATTTTTCGATTATCATGAGTCCTGGTATCTCTGCATGGTCGTATCGTTTTTACTGTGTTCATGCCCATTGAAAGACAACTGTTGTTTTCTACAGCTGATGGGAGCGGTGGATTCCGCTGCACCTCCAGAGGAGAAGTTTTGCCTCAGCGGACTTTCCTCATCATCAGCATCATCGTCGTCATCATCAGCGCCGCTGACATCTTCATCATAACGAGCTGCTGCATCTCTCAGCTTCGAACTGGTGCGAGGATGAACATCCAAGTCCTGTCAGACCACAAACTCTCATCTGTCGCCCCTTTGAAACCGTACAGTAATGTGGAAAAGAAGCAAGTGGAGTTGATCCTGGTGAAGGACCAGAATGGGGTCCAGTACACCAGCACTTCCATCATCGGGGCCCCCGGCGCCCACGTCTGTCCGTCGGGCTCCCTGCGCGAGGAAGAGCGTGAGACCTGGGGCAAGAAAATGGACTTTCTGCTGTCTGTCATTGGCTTTGCAGTGGACTTGGCGAACGTGTGGAGGTTCCCTTATTTATGCTACAAAAACGGAGGAGGTAAGCAAAAGTCTTCCAGTCCATGTATATTTTGGCAATTTACTTATTAGCGCAGTAAATTATTTGCCTTTTTGTAACATTTAAACAAAGACATTTATAAAAATGAAAATATAAAACCATATAAGGTATTATTCATTACTCCCAGTTTTATTTAGAGGTTAAACATTCATATTCAACTGGCGTTTAATCCCACTTTTTTAAAGTTCTACCGTTTTGCGTCAATGAGCTTCGAGAGAGGTCTTGCCTTATGGCAAATTTGTTTAACTTGTCCTGGTCCTAGTGACGATTTAGCAGCTAATAGTGTTTTTACAGCAGTGGCTGAGCCGTTCTATACACGTGAATTATAGTGTCGACGAAGTCGCTTCGCCACCTTCTAATATCATTCATTCGGTGTTTGAATTTTCCACCTCGGCATTATAAATTATTGAGAGAAAAGGAATTTAAATATTGTGCGGCTCTCCTGCGTATTTATGGCATTTTTAAGTCAAGCGTCAATTCCTCAAAAGTTAAAATTTACCAGTGTTTACTCCCTCTGTTCTTAATTCTCATGCTTCTTCTTGCATGTTTATGAAAGTTTGTGTGGTCTGTATAAGTGTCTGAAAACTAAAGCAAAACACTACAACAAAGAATAATTTACACTTTACTTCACTGTATTAATACCACTGCAGTTGGTTACCCAAGTATCACTTTTTTATAACAAAAATCAGTGGCAGAAATGCATAAAATTATGAGACATTAAATTGATGAGGCACTTATCCAAATGAAGGCACAAAACCGGCACCCTTAAGGACTTTTTCCAAAACAGCTATTACTCAGGATGCCTGTGTGGTTTAGGGGATGGATGGGCCTGACACCTCATCTCTGCCAGAAAATCCATCACCTACACCGGATTCACTTTTTCAGAGGACACCAATCGCACCCGCCTCTCACCTGTATGTTGGGCAGCAGGTAACTGGACGAGCTGGAAAGGCCAAAGGTCTCTGCCAGTGCAAATCGCAGGGAGGCACTGGCTGTTTCACCCTTGAGGAACAGAGCATAGACTTAGTTGGTTCGGTGAAGTTGAAAAAAGAGACTGAGGAATCCAGTTGTAATATGGAAGAGGAGGTTCTGTAAGCGAAGGCTTCATCTTAGGGGCAAAACAAACACCTTAATAAACCATCCATCCATCCATATGCTTCCTTCTATCCATCAATCTATATTCATCCTTATATATCACATTATCCAGCTCCAGGTAACTGATAAATCTTACATATCATTCATTTCTATGTTTTGGCTAAATTCCACCAAAAACCTCTATGTAGAGTTTGAAAGTGATCCAGTTGATGCTTCTTGTTGACTAATGTGCTGAGCCAGTTCTTTCTGAATCACTGATTGTAGCACTTACATTCTGTGTTACTGAGTGGTGCTTATTACCTGAGGTGCCCATTTGTGGGCTAGCAACGTGACTCCCACTATGGTCCGTCACACTGCAATATTCACGTGGCTAAAAACTAGAGCCACAGTCTTTCGGCTGTTAGGACTAACGAAGCCGTTCTTCCTCGACAGGAGCCTTCCTGATCCCCTACACTCTCTTTCTGCTTATTGCTGGGATGCCCCTGTTTTACATGGAACTGGCTTTGGGACAGTACAACAGGGAGGGGGCTGCCACGGTCTGGAAGATCTGCCCTGTCTTCAAAGGTAAGGGAGGGGTCCGCCTCAGCGCATGCAGGGACCGCCCTTGGTTTTTGGCCCGTATAGTTCCTGGTGCTTCTTTGAAAGCTTCGAAAGACGGAAGTTTCTGCGTGTCAGGATCTGTTTGGGAGCCAAGTTGCTTTTTCACCACTCTGACCAATGTTATGTTGATTTGTTCCTGTGACTAAAATTCGAGGACCCTGTAACCACTTATCATACTGAGCAGGAATGTTAACTTCAGACAAGCAAACGTGTATAAGGCTGCACATTTGGACCAGGTGAAGAACCTGCCTAGATCTTTATACATAGCTTAAGCTTGATGACATACAAAGCAGAAGATTGTGGTCTTTGGTGATACGTATGTGTTTGTATGTAAGGAATCCTTAGTTAATGTGACAGCCCACATAAAACCACGACCAATGATTTGCACAAGCATAGTATATGCATCATAATATGACAAATTTGAGGTTTGCCACAGCCTACTGTACCTGTTTCTGAACGCCTCTTGAGTTGTTGTTTTCCCTGTCCTCTCTTCCCACAGGCGTGGGCTACACTGTGATAGTCATCGCTCTCTATGTGGGCTTCTACTACAATGTCATCATAGCCTGGTCCCTGTACTACCTGTTCTCCTCGTTCACCAGCGAGCTACCATGGCTCGGCTGTGGCAACAGCTGGAACAGCCCCAACTGCACCATCACCCAGCAGACCAACAGCTCCTGCCTGGGCAATGTCACCATGTATTCCAAGTGCAAGAACACCCCTGCCGCTGAGTTCTATGAGTGAGTGCTCCGGCTTCCCATGGCAACTTAGAGAAGGAATTGACTCTGGCTCATTGGTGGAAAGGTGGATTGTGGGCGGGGCATGTTAGTGGGTCGAGCATGGCTCAGCCTGATGATTGACGAGGCAATAACTCCACCCACCAGGGGATTCTACAGCTCATCTCTCCCATTAATACGGAAAAAAAAAACTTCCACAACAGTCATCCAATTATCTTTCGATGACCACAGACAGGCAAATATTAGCGGGGGGCGGGGTTTAGTGGTACAACCTGCCAGATCGATCGGTGCGCCAAATAAGCTTCGCCCTTTCCCTTTTGTTCAGATGCGATCACAACACGTAAACATCAGGGGTCATAAAAAAAGTCGCTTGGAAATATATAATTTCATTTTTTAAATGCACAAACCCCACCTCCAAATCCCCACCAGCCTGTGGCCCTTGTCCCACATGATGCCTTGTAGACTTTAATGAATACAGTAAGACATGCATCTTCCTGTGTTAAATGCTGACGTGTCAGTCATGGCCTCTGGTCACCAGTGTTGGCCTGACCCCAGCCACTGTATCAGAATTTGCGTCATCGTGGTGTGTTCTGTACACTAAACGAAAGAGCCCCTTCTAGGGGTCCCACTGCCTCATGCTGTATGTTCGTTCGTTCCACAAACAGTGTGAACTCAGCGGCTATGTACATTATCATGAGGTCCTCCCAGTAACATGCGTGGGCTCAGGCCCCTGAGAATGTGGGCGGAGCTTTGGCATTCCCGCCCACTGTCACGCCACTGGTAGCCCAGATTTTTTATCATGCCCTGGATGCCTGTGATTTGTCAGATCCCTCCCATACTTGTATTTCATTTGTTTAACAAAAGGCTGTCATCGGCAGTGTTATGTTACTTGCGCGTTCTCTGTTTTAGGCTTAATATCTATGATCCCGATAACAGTTAAACAGTCATACAGTAAGTCTGCATTAGTTAGCATAAACAATGCAGCGCTGGGGAATGATCCGTTCTTATTATCCCTTTAGGGAAGTCCTCTGTAGGCCTGCACAGGTTTTACACGATACAACGTTGGCTGGCTTGCAGACAGATGGTCGGTATCATTATTACAGTCTAAACAAGCATCGGAACGGATTTCCTAACCCTTATCACCAATGAACAACTTAACTTTTATGAGGCATTTAATATACATTAGTTATATTAACTCTGAGGTCAGCATCTCGAAATCGGACCTTCTGTTCCATACATGGGTCACCAGCATAAAATCACTCCCCTGATATTCCTGTCCTCTGTCTCTTTAATGTATAGCAGACATATCAAATTAGCTCATAAGTTCATGGGAAAATAGGGACATCCGTTTGTACTTCAAACAGGTGTAATTTTTCCAGTGCAAGTGTGAATATTACTTCTGCTGCACTTGAGGAAGTCAGCGAAACGGCAGTGATGGGAATTGTCCAACTTGGACAAATGAAAGCTGCTTCCGAAAGCGGCGAAAGCCTTGCTCCCCCACCAGCTTCTTCCCTCACTGTTACTGCGGTTCTTCAGTTCAGTGAGGCGCTCCTTCACCCTGACACGGCGTTAACCGAAAACTAGCTAACAAACTTCACGGGCTAACCCGCCGCTTCAAGCTCAACTCTGTGGCCCACACGCCAAAAGCCTTCAGCGATGGCCACGACGGCCACGACGGCCACGGCCTCCCAGTTTCAGCCCTGCCCCCAGGTGTCCCTGTGAGATAAAGCGATGAAGACAAGTTCTGTCTTTTTTTTTTACCCCTAGACCCCCAACCCCCAAGCATTGGTCTGATGTCACGGACATCATGGCATCTCTCAGGTCCTCTCCAGATGGTTTCAGTCAGGTTTAGATGTTTTCATTTACAAGAATAACACCGGTTTAGACGCCAGGTACCTCTCAGGCCTTTCTGGCTTTTAAACGTAGCACATTGCTAACACCATTGAAACCATGCTGCATCTAGGTATTCTAGGCTGGTCAGGGGCACAGCGGGCACTGGGTATTCTGCCAGTTGGCTGGGTAATAGCTATGCTGTGAGGAATAGCTGAGGCTATATGTCAGTGGCGTCAAATTCAGTGCCCAGCAAGCCATGTTTCTACTGGTCTTCACTCCAGACCATTCTCTCTTAATCGTTCCAATTAAAACTTAATCACCATTAAGACTTCAATTTAAATGGAATTGTATGGATAATTTATAATGTATGCTTGCTAAAATGTCTTGTTGTATCAAAATTATCTAGCTTCAAACATGGATTCTCCAGTGCTTACAGGCTATTTAAGTTCAGGCTTCTTTTCAGAGAACCCAGAATGTTCTTTTCTTGCCACTGGGAAGAATAATAATATCTCAGCATACAAAAAAAAAAGAACAGAGGATGAGCATGATTTACTTGGTCAGTGAAATAGATCTTGATGATGAAATGCTATTCTGAGTGGCCTTACGCCCTCAGAGAGGTGGCCAGTGGTGTGTCTGTGGCATTTAATCACATTTAAAAAATGGCAGCGCCTGCCTGGGTCTCTCCAGCACTTTGACCGGAGCCCCAGGACGCTCGGAGCCCCAGGACGCTCGGAGCCCCAGGACGCTCGGAGCCCCAGGACGCCCCTTACGATTTGGCTGCAGATAACCTAGCAGCCAAATGAATTGATGTGTGGCCTGCAGGGACAGGAGAGAGATTGATGATTATGTTTGAGTCGCTCACATCAGGACTTCATCACTGCCCAGCCGTAAAAGATGGCAGTCTTTCCATTTTGAAAGGGCTCCTCGGCCGTTTTTTGACTCTGTGTTTCTGCCAAAGAACCATGCCGTCGCCGTGCACTCTGGTCTTCTCATAATAACGTTGCGGTCTGTAATTTTCCTTACAGCTATGGCTAGGCCTTCATTTCCTCTCCAAATCGCCACCGAGGGCTTGGTTATTATCCTCAGCAATCAGCTGGCTGGAACAGTGCTGCTCCTTAATGAGGGACCGAAGCGTAATTATTGCGATTGAGTTTTCAGAGGCGTGACTTCGAGTCGGGTGTTTGTGCGGACGTGGGGGGCAAGCAGGTGCTACTCCGCATTTGGGCTCATTAGCCCCAAAGGTCCAAGTAACCCAATGACTCGTAAGCACTGCTGTTATCCATTACTAAAAATGTGTGCTTTACATATCCGAAGATGCCATCAGCTATGAATTCCACTGCGATATATGGGTAGATAGATGCCTGCATGAATTTATCGTGAATATATTATATTTAGTGAATTTAGTGAATCACATTTAAAGAGCTTTTCACTTACAGTTTATCCATGTGTTGAGTTTTTGTTGTAACAACAGCAAGGGCCATTTCTAGAACATTATTTCTTAGTCTTTAGGTCACAGTTGTAAAAAGTGAAAAATCTAGTTTCATATTTAATGTTATAGGAACAATCCAGAAAGACCCCATATGACTATCGTCAACCAAATGAATTGATCAATTTTAGAATTAAGTCTTTTTTAATCCTAAACTTTTGCTGATCTGTTTTGAAATTGCTACATAAAAAAGGAACTGCTATTAACCAAATACGTTTTGACAAATGATCTGCCTGAACAAACTCTAAATTCAGTCTTACATTCAAAATCTTGCAGAATGATTGTAGTCAGCCAATGAAATACTTCAGATGCAGAAATTTAATTTAGAATAAATGACTATATTGGGCATGGCGTTTCCAGTGAATACTGTTTGAGCTGCGTTTGAAAGTTGTCAAAGTAGGCAAAAATGTGTAGCATGGCCTAATTTTACATGTAATTAGTCTCCAAGGGCTGGCACTTGTATTGTTGACCTGCATGGGCTTGTTATTGTTACTATTTTAAGTGGGATTTCCACCACATTCAAAAGCAACCACTGAGGATGAGTGACATTTTCAGGAGACCTATTAGATTGTCGATTTTGCCATGTCCTTATTCAGGTGGAGCAATCTGGTATTAGTTTGCTAAGCGATCATGGATAAAAAAGATTAAACCATAGTTGTGTCAGTGGCCTGTATTTTATTTAGACCACTCTGCTGGGTATTAGCTCACCAGCTTAAGTGGCGCCTTCGTCTAGACATACTTATGTCTCAGAGTCTCCTAATGCTTTTTTCACAGAGATTTAAAACTGGGCCTGTTTATGAGTTTTCTCAGGACAAGAACGTAGGAAACTTAAAGGGACCCATGGACTCATTCGTCTCACGATGATATTTGAAAGGATTCTCCTTCACTGGATATGTAGACTGTGTGGAAATATATTCCGCAGCTTTTCATAGCCTAAAAGCATAGACCACCTTCTTTCAAATGGCAGAAGGCTGACGTCTTGTTTGGAAACCTCACAGTTCAATGCTTCTGCGCAGGATGGCAGGGTTCCGAAAGCCAAGAATCTATCAACAAAATGCAGTACGTAAAATGGGGTGGTTGATGTTTGCAAAGCAGAAAATGCTGCAACCAGACTCACTCCAGACTCTCAAGTCCTCATTTTGGATCCACCCAGTCAGCCCTCTTTGTCTTTGACCATAATCAATCCAGTGAGACATAGGTGCGGTTTAATATCTAAGGCATCTGCAGGTGTATGTGATCTATCACCATAAACTCAGCAGACCAGCCCATTCCATTGATCTCTCTTCTTCCCACTTACATGAGCATACAAAGCTCATATAAACATATACGTACTGTATATATAAACACCACATAATTTAATAACTGAAAGGAAGTGGAAAAGAGACAACATTGAGTGCATTACTCTCTCGTCCACTGAACCGAGAAAAAGAATTTAAACTGATTGGTAGAAACATCCTGTGTTTAACGAGTGGAATTTAGTTATATTCTGCATCATCTGGGTCTTGGGCTTAGAGTCCAAACCAAACAGCTGGAAACCTTGCGATGTAAATCATTTGTCATGATAGAATGGAAGAAAAAAAAAAACAACTACAGGCTACTTTATTGTAACAGAACAGAAGCATCCTACCATTTATAATAAAGATGTCTTATTCCTGTCATAGCTTTAAAACAGCCTCTATTTATGTTTTTATATAATAAGTTGATATGTAATAGCTATATAATATTAGACTAGACAGCCTGATGATTGAATAAAATCAGCTGTTTAGAATTTAGATTAATAAAACGATCAAACATTTATTGCTCTAGTCTGAGATGATGTGACGCTTTGTGAGAAAGTCTGCGTTGCGTCAGTGGTCAACAACATCGCCATGCACACAGGCGAGTCTTGTCATGGATACGTCTGTCCGTGTACAGGCAGGGTGACAATCCCTGCTCTGGTTTATTTTTTTTAAATGGTCATAAAGGTTATTGATTTTTAGGGATCCTCTTCTCCAAAAAATTATGTAATTGCTGGATTTGATATATATGATTGATAGCACATTGATTTTGCTGAATCACTTCCTTTAACTGGGTTTTGGGTTCGATTGTGGCCACACTGTGTGGTTTCATCCTGGTGTTTGTGTTATTTGTTGACTCGCAGTACAGGTATGTTACATGTGGAATATGTGATTCTGTATATGTTCCACAGACTGGTTTCCAATAGGGAATACCCACCTAATACTCCAGTATTCCCTGGTCTCTGGATCACTGCGAGCCCAAGTGGATTAGCAGTTACTTAAAATAGATTTATAAAGTTTAATCTGATTGAGTTGAGTAAGCCAGGGACTGGGCACTTTGTGGGAATTCGATGCGGTTTCCTCTGTTTCAGTGGTGAAAAAGCAGGGATGAATTAACTCTAAATACAGCTACAGTTTCATCCTGCCTCAGTAGCGGGCATCGGGCTTATTAATGCCATCTGACGCACCTTTTGAATCTGGCCCAGCCTGTTGCTGTTAGACTGAGGCCGGTCCGCACCAGGCACGGGCTGGGAGTGGTGCTAATGGTCTGCCACTGTCATCAGTGGAAAGCCTTTCGTCAGTGTGAATCCGGTCACTCCGCACACCCTACTGCCACTTGTGGGGGTGGGGATAGGGGTGGGGGGCTTTAGCAGTCTCTGGGGCTGTGCCCTCCCTTAGCGTAAAACCTCTCGCAGAAGCATGCCGGCTTCTTTCAGGCAAACGGGACACACAGTTCTGGGGGAACCACGGGGATGCGGAAGCTGTCTATTCCCAGTGTGGGCTGATCCTGAATTTGCTTCAGAAGTTGGCAGTGTGTTCGTGACATGATTGTCCTGGTGGGACTGCACACTTCCATTTAATGCCCAACAGCACAACAAAAACACAGAGTGCTGAATTGTTGCAATAAGTAAACATAAAATACAGCAGAGCTAAACATTTATACAGGTCATCATTTTCCCAGTCAAGTAGTAACGTTTGTGTTGTTATTCTTTCAGTTAAAGATTCTAGAGGGGAATGAGAAATTGATAAAAGCAAAGTCTTCATAATTCTGGTTTAACCACCACCAGTGTTCTAGTTTCCAGTTAAAAAGTCTTTAATCTGCAGTGCAATAAAGGAAAGAAATCAATCTGGATGAAAAATATCATCTGGGAGTTTTAGCTTGTCGTATGTTGGCTTAGGAACTGCATACTGCTGTTAAACTGCTATAATAGTTTTAATTAAACACTGCAAGCAATCTATACCACTCTGGTTGGTTTGGATAAACGGCTTAGTAAAGATGGGATTCACAGTGGTTTTACCAAATAGTTTTTAATGCAGGGGCAAGTGCAGTAAATAGCCCTGCTGGTACCAGCAGCCACCCCCCCACCTACCTCTCGGGATGGGGTCTCATTAACTATCACCTCTGGATTCATTTTCTTCACGTCATACTTTGCTGCTTTGTTTAGAATGTGCTATATCACTTCTTTCACTAAGCTGCGTGTCTAGAAACAAACCTTATTTTGTTGTGGGCTTTGGAAGCATCACATAACCTCAGCCGCACCCCTCCGCACACTGCATAACCATATGCCCCTCTGAATTCATGTGTTTATCTAGTCATTTTGCATTTATTTTTGTACCAGTGAGGAGAGCTTCATGTCAGGGGGAAGGATATTTAGCACATTTGGCACAATGGAGGTTAAGGACCTTTTTCAGGGCCCAGTATTATTACTCTGCTTGATTCAAACCCACAACCTTCCAGACATGGGTGTAGGTTCCTAACCGGCTGAGCTACACACTGGCAACAAAACCTTCAACAGCAAGCTTGATCCAGTAGGGGGTGCATGTAGGTTTAGCATTAGATAAAGTGAACATTGCTGGGTTAAATCTCACAAGGGATGCTACACTTAACACCTGCACTTTTGTACTCCTCAAATCTTTCAGGACACCACTCATTCCTTGTAAGTCTTTCCCTTTAGAACCAGTTTATCTGATTTGGCTAATAAAGGTCTCAAATATGTTGTTACTAATGTTCCTTGTCCAAAATATGAGGTTTGAGGTTCTCCGAAGAATAGTTTGAGAATCTCTGAGCTGAGCAGATAAACGTCACTGTCTGGCCGTCTTCGTTGTTGAGTACAGACATCCATAGCTTTCACCTATGGGTGTACTGTATCTCAGAGACGTTTACCTGGCCAACACTGGCTGTACATCTGGGTCCCACCTGAAAAGACACGGAAATTGAGGCATCGTCGCACCAGAGAGATGCGATTCATCCGTCTGTCTGCGGCCAGATTTTATTTATGTCTCCTTAGAGTGTTTGAAGTTTTAAGCGTTTGTTAGTTCTGGAATAACAGTCCAGGAACTTTACGGGGAATGTTAGTGCCAGGAAATGTGTGGGAGCCGGTATTCTACCCTGGAGAAGGTCACAGGATGAGCCAGGGCCGGTAGTGGGCTGCGTTCACGATGACTCTCATTGCTCAGTAAGGCGTGACAGACGGCTCGAGAGGGGCAGACCCACCCCTCCCCCATCCCGATAGTCATCTGTTAACGTGAAACGTGACGACTCATGGCTTCGTCACATAAACATTACGGGATCGTAGCCCCATGTTTTAAAGTGGATCCAAATTGTGTTTGCTTTTGTTACTGAGCAACGTTTTCCATTTGTGTCTGGTTAATGTGGCCGATTTAGTTAAATCAGCGGGCGTGTAACTTCAGCACAATGCGAGGTCTTTTTGTGTATCTCCTGTGCAGTGTGAAAAGGTTAATCTACAACTTAACTAGATATGTTCCAGTTTTTCTATAATACATCAGTGGCTAAAACTGCAGCAGTCCCATTGACAACGTTTATTTTATTGCATTCTCCTGTGTACTAAGGAAGCAGAAGGAAACGCGTGACAGGGAAACAGGAAGTTTACCTCACCTGTGTCTCCCTTCCATAGTGACCCTAATGTTGGTGGCAGGGAGCTGTATCAGTCCCACTCACTTTTCTCGTCTCAAGCAATAATTTACTTAAGACTCCAGGTAAATGGACATTAAGAATAAAAAGAACCAGAAAAGTTTCTGACGTGTTCAGTAAGATGGGGGCAATAAAATTCCATAGCTACACTTTCGTCAGTCATTTTTTAAGGAACTGTCAATGTCTTTGATCCGTTGTGATTTGGGGACATTTTCCTGTTTCCTGAAATTGGCGCCCCCTCCCAGGAGTCCCCTAGACAGTCCAGGAGGCTTAGGGTGTCTGGGCATGGGACAATACAGCAGATGGTTACTGAGGTTCATCTGACGGAATCAGTCACTCGGGAGTAAGACCACAGACCGGATTTTCCTTGATGCCCACAAGAGGGCCGTCCCAGCAGAAAACAGTGTCCGGAGCTCGTAAAATATTTATTCAGTCTCAATATAAACATGAAGTACAGATTGGATAAGCATTTAATTTTAATTTGTCGCCGCTGAAAAAAGGACGTCATTAATTTTCCTACCAAATTCTGCCAGATGTTTTTAGCCATTACTTTGAGGTGACTGCAGGCATGTTTTTTACAGCTGTTTTCATGGATGTACTATTTAATGTTTGCTGGATTGAGTAGAGGTACACTGTTTCACTTGTACTCACACTGTCCTAATGTTCTTAATCTCAGGGAACATTCTCTCTCTCTCTCTCTCTCTCTCACACACACACACACACACACACACACACTATTCACCTTAGCATGTGTTTGGTCCATGGAGGGAAACCAGAGGGCCCAGAGGAAACCCCATAATGACACGGGGAGAACATGCAAATTCCACACACATACACCAGGCCAGAGACTCAAACCCCATTCCCAGTGGTGTGAGACAACAGTGCTGACCACTGCACCACCTTATGAAGTATTTGTGTTTGTATAAGTAGAGATAGCACAGAATGAGTGTGTACATCCTGCTTCACATATTGACTAGAGTGTCTCCTACTGACTCTGCCAAAGATGAGTATGACTTAGGAAGCCAACGCCAATAACACCTGAACAGACCATCCACCCATCTTTCTAATGCTTACTCTGGTCAAGGCCGTAAGTCAAAATGCTCTCTCAGGGTTATCTTTGGTCATTGTTTATCGTTCATGCTGAAATGAAAAGCCTTGCTCCTGACAGCCATCTTTGTGCATAGGCGCGGCGTCCTGCATCTTCACGAGAGCGACGGCATCCATGACCTGGGACTGCCCCGCTGGCAGCTGGTGCTCTGCCTCGTGGTGGTGGTCTTCATCCTCTACTTTAGCCTGTGGAAGGGGGTCAAGTCCTCAGGCAAGGTATGCACACACACATCCAGAGGATTCTCACACACAAGCACACGCAGAATGTTTTTGTGTTTGCAGGGTCTACATTCCTTTTCACTGCCTTAAGCAACATCTTTTCGCAGATAGACTACAGGGAAACAGATATATGTGGGTGAGGATTGGAAACTCCTGCCTCTGACTGTGAAATGTGTTGATCATCACAGGCTCATCCTGATATTGACATGTAAATTGATGTCCAGCTGACAGGTGGATCAAAAAATCTGGACACACTAAGACACTTGAGACCACAGCTTTATCACAACACCTGGACCTCTCATGTGTCTCTGCAGGTGGTGTACATCACAGCCACGATGCCGTATGTGGTGCTGTTCGTGCTCCTGATCCGCGGTATCACCCTGCCAGGCGCTATGGACGGTATCCGAGCATACCTCCACATCGACTTCAAGCAGCTCAACAACGCTACGGTGGGATGCCCTCATTTCGCTATTTCCATTATCAAATGTCCAATAAGCATATCATGACTCGATGTAGTTGAACTCTTCAGGCAACTAATAGGTGATGAATGAGAATTATTATTAGGTGCCACAACGTTGACCATGGCTGACCATTTAAGTGGAATTTCTCCAGAATGTCGCTTCTCATGTCTGGTTCCTCTGGCTCCTCAGTTAGAGATCCATTGTTGTAATGACTGAGTCCATCCATCTTCTAGCTATTTGCCCTCTATTTTTTTTCCACCTTCAACCTTTTCAAGCATTGTGACCTTCTCCAGTGTATTAGGTCTTCTGATAATATGCTCTAAATAGGTCTCCTCATTTCAGCTTCAAGCAAATATTGCATTGACCGAGAATCTGCTTGTTTTCCTTGTACTTCTTCTTAAAAGTCTTTGCTGGCTCCAAAGTTCAAAGGCATGAGTACTTTTCTGTCTTCTTTTTTCATTGTCCATCTTTCACTGGAAATACCGTATTCTGATCTTGGTTCCTATAGACACCTCAGTACTATTTTGAGATTCTTCGTCACAGCTCTGCTAAATGCCATTCTGTGACATATCTCTTGACTGCCAGATCTTTATCTAACTACTTCTGGACTCATCCAGTTTCTACATACTCGATCCTGACTGTGACTTCTAGCCCAGTGTACGGAATCCTCTTGCAGACAATGACATGCTTTGTTACAAACATTTTCCTGAGAACATTCCATAGTTCAGTAATCAATCGATAAAGCACAAGTTGACTTCCTTTGGGTGTCCTTTTGATTGTCCACCTTGCATGTCACTTGTTCCTTGGCCTTTCTTGAGTTTATACATTTGATGATTTTGTTTATATGTTAGGCTAACTGACACCAAACGATCTTTTGCATAAATAACAGTTGTATGAATATTTTGCGTCCCTGTTATTTGCTATTGGAATAAAAGCAACTCTTCCAGTCTGTAGGCCATTGAGATATTTTCAAAACTTGTTCTTCTTCAGTTGCTTGTAATATATTTTTTTTGTGATGCCATCTAGCCATCCTTTTCCACAGTGCTCTCTCTGACCTCCTCATCCATACTGAAGGTTCTTCCATGTATCTTACCTCATTTAATATACCTTGATTGTTATGATTGATATTATATTACATATAGGTATATATTAATGTTCAAAATCCTTGTTAACAGACACCTGTATATAGTGTGCAAGAATATGTAATGTAAATAAACTTCCTTGGCATTTATGCTGGCTGGATTAAGTGTTAGGGCAACAAATAATTATAATATAAATTAACCTATTTTAACCAGTTGACCGTTTTCTCTGCAGGTCTGGATAGATGCAGCAACCCAGATTTTTTTCTCCCTGGGGGCAGGATTTGGGGTGCTGATCGCCTTTGCCAGCTACAATAAGTTTGATAATAACTGCTACAGGTGAGGATTGTCACTGGATCAAGATGCTGGGGGAACAGGGTGACTGCGGGCAGTTGGGGCTGTCAGGGTGACGGATCTGGCGGGGAGACAGAATTGGCGGGGGGGCTCTTTATCGCCTGTCACTTTTTGGAACGGAGAGGTTCTGATGACCTGCTCATCACTTCCATCCTCCAGGTGTCCCCCCCCCTTCAGACTTTTAAGCATGTTTTTTTGCCCCAAAGCCGCTTATCTCCCATTCCTGCCGATTCATGCTGGTCCACATCGCTGAGTCATTACGCTCAGTTAGACACCAGGTAATTGTTTCCATCTAATTTAGAAAAAAACGAACCTGCAACCGCTTCAGTTTGCGCAAGACATAACTCTGGCTTTACGTAAAAAAAGAGCCTTGAAAATACTTTAGTCCTGAACAGAAAGACATAATTTTGTAGTGAAATTGGCTGATTAGTGTCTAATTAGGAGAGGGCACAGGCTGAAACACCAGCCAGCACACACACGGTGTGACAATGTTCAGTCCTGGCCTGAGACTTATCTATTTCCCCTGCGGAACCTCCCATCCCACCCAGAAGCTCACGTTGTGCTGGTTCTCGGGCCTCGCTGCGCCCTTGCCAGTGGTTCACCAGGGTTCCTTCACCTCTCGGGCACAACCTAAATACTTCCACTGGAGTCTGCGTGGCTTAGAAAGCGAAGACAGATGTTTCTGCTCTCAGCTGGATCTTTTCTGTTACTCGACTAAAAAAGGGGCTTGAAAACATCTAGGCAATATGGGTGAACTCTATGTACAACCAGACAAAAAGAAGATGGGTTATGTATTAGTGTAAGAACAAGTGAGTCATTCTTGGGTGTCAAAGGAATTATTGTGATGGGATCCTTGGACCTTTAGTGTCTGCTGTTTATAAGCTGTGGGTCGTGGCTTTGCCTTACTGGCCGGTGAGGTGACACTTGAGTGATTTTGCATCTGAATGCCAGAGCAGACACCTCACCGTGCATCTAGGCGACGGGAATGACGCACATACTGTAAGCAGGCCTCTGAGGCGTGTAAGATCTTGCCACTCACGTAATCATCCAGCGAGCCTCGCCGCCGGCTTCCAGGTAGCGTTACAGCAGCAGAGAGGGTGAGAGTTTCTTGAAATGGGGACACAGCAAGGAGAAGGCAGGACTTGGCCCAGTGCTTGTTGGAGTCGACCATTTGCAGATGTAACAGTGGTATGCAGCCCAAAAACTGGTCACAGTGCCATCACAACAGCTGGACTGGTGGTCAAAGAAACACAAGACGCTATTCTGAATGACATTTGTGTTATATATTAGGTACATAGCCTGGCTCAGCGGCATACCTGGAAATTTGTGCTCCCAGAAAAAAAATGACACCTTGGGCTCCCCCGCCCAGTTTCTCATTTTATTTTATGTATTTAGGGGCCCCTTTCAAGCGCCGGGCCCCCAAATCTGTCAGGTTATTCATGCCCTCCGATGCTCCTGCCAGTGCATAACTGCTTAATATCCTGCATCCCAAGTGAGTGTCCAGAAAAGAGAATGCTGTAGAGGAGCGTGTCAGTGAGGAAGTGCAGCTTAGGGCCCGAGCTGATGTGAAATGCTCTGTGTCTGTCCTCTTGCAGGGACGCCATCATGACCAGCACGATTAACTGCGTCACCAGCTTTTTCTCAGGGTTCGCTATATTCTCCGTACTGGGTTACATGGCCCATAAGCACCGGGTGAAGATCGAGGAAGTAGCCACTGATGGTAGGTTCCGGATTCCCCTTTGACAGCGACGCTGCCGCTCATTGTGGCTGCGGAGGAGTCTGGCCTGTATCAGGCATTAAGTGCCTCACTGAAGATATTAATATTCGAATGGAAATTCGAGGGCCATACAAGACTTACAGATAGGCTGATATTCCAGCCAATCATCTGTCCCATGAAATGGGATTTGAGAACGAAAATACTCAGTTTAAATCTAGTTAGTTTAAATATACTGTGTGCATATGTGTGTGTGTGTGTAGCCTTGCCAACATGTTAGCTTCAAAGTACTTAAATGAAGCAGTAACACATCAAGCAGGTATAAATATGAACGTATGAGAGAAATGGATGGCTTTCCTGCTTTTTCTTTTTCTTTATTACCAGCTGTTCTTTACTTCCCCTTTAATCTCTCCCCCCTTCTCTCTTTTCTTATTTTCTGTCATCTCTTTCTCACCATGTGGTGAAAAGCCTATAGCAAACCATTGCAGTCCTGGTTCTGCTGACCCACTGTGTATGTAGGCTTTTGTTCAGCCGAGCTTTTATTAATTAGCCTTCGGTGAACTGCCAGTTAAATTAATTGGACTATTGAGATTCCATTAAGCAAGTTGTAATTGAGGACTCGCTTTTCGTCGTATTTAGTTCTGTCCTAATTTGTTTTTGTTTTTATCAGAGCATGTTCTTAATTGTTCAGGGAAAGTCTGTTTTATTACAAAATATACTGGAAAATATGCCAGTTATCTGTATTTTGAACTATTAAATCATGTTTGATTGCGTAAAATAACAAACATGAATCATGCATTTTAAATTGTTTTCAAGTCTTATCTCAGCGCTGTAGGTATTCCTAAATGCAGAATTTTTGCATTTATTTAGATTTAGGGCTAATTAATTAATAGCTCTTAAGGCATCAATTGGAGCAAGAATCCCAATACTCCCAGCTGGCCAACAGGACCAGGACCAAAAATACCTAGAAAAACAAAATAAGCTTGACAGGAAATGTTCTGCTGGTCATTTGTGTCTTTTTTAAAAATAGGAGCCGGACTGGTGTTTATTATCTACCCCGAAGCCATCTCAACCCTCCCGGGGTCCACGTTCTGGGCGATAGTCTTCTTCATCATGCTCCTGACACTTGGTATCGACAGCTCTGTGAGTGAAGAAATACCCTCCTCCCCGCCCCCCCCCACACACACACAGGACCACACATACCTGGGAGACGTAAGCATAGATATTTGAGTATTCTTTGTAGTGCAGTTGCATCCTCCAGGTATAGCACAGCAGAGTACTGCCAATGTACTGCAGGCTCTTGGATTACAGTCAGATACACACAAAGCTTATTTGCAGCAAGTGGAGTACAATGGGAAAAAGTAACTTTGGCAAATTAAAAGTGTGCTTTACATTGCTGCAAAATAGTTGCAATAGCGTTACTGAATCTAGCGATAGCATGACCTTTATAGCTCTGGACCTTTGCCCAGTAAGAATTTTATTTAGTAACCACATTTAATGTGAACTTGATTAACCCTAAAGCATTTCTGATGGACAGGGATAATGTGCTTGACTGCTCAGTGTTTTACTTATGAAAACAGATGAATTCTGAAGAATTTGATTATATGTAAAAGAATCCAGTGCTGTGCAGTACCCGTCTCTAATGGTGAAGACAGTGATCTTAACTGCATCAGTGCTTCTTAGACATTTTCCTGTGATTGCTACCCTGCAATCATGACAAGAGTCAAATAATATCACTTGTGAGTTGCCACACATGCGTTATAATGCGACTATGACTTCTGCTCAAAGGTTACGTATGACGTGACTCAAGACACCGTCTCCCACTCTACACATAAGCACCTCAGATGGATCTCCAGCATGTTAAGACAGGCCATCGAAGCTCTTAGGGTATATGAAATGTAATCATTTGTAAAATTAGCTTTTAGTATGTGTTCAGCTACTGTTTTATAAAAGCAATAAGGCATCTGGGGCATTTTTAAAACTGTAAATAAAACCACTGCTTAGCATCACTGTCGCTAGGCTTCACGTCACAGAGGAATGTATTTGGTTTTATTCACAAATAAAATACGCCCTCTCATGTGTTACTACTTAAACGGTGGATGATGCACGTTTTGGCATAGAAGTGGGATTTTACATACAAAGTGGTTTGTGTTCAGGCCATATTTGTGTAGACAATAGTTTCCTCCCGGTGGACTTGTGGTCAAAAACATCTGCTGAACTGTTCCATCTCCTTGTCTTCACCCGCCTCTCCTCTTCACCACTCTCTCACATCCACGCCTGTTTCTGTCTGCCTTCCCAGATGGGGGGGATGGAAGCCGTCATTACGGGCCTCACAGACGATTTCAAGTTTCTCAAAAGGAACAGGAAACTGTTCACCTTCGCCACAGCATTTGGAACATTTCTGGTTGCCCTGTTTTGCATCACCAACGTAAGTTTGCATTCTGGGGACTTGAGCTGAATCTGGGGCACCTTCTAGTTAAAATTCCGGCTTTGACAGGAAAGATCATCTTCATTTTTCCTTGCCGTTAGTGGGTCAACACTGAGTGGTTGGACATTTTATTGAACGCCTGGAGGCAGGATTTTTATTGTACTTCATTGCCTAGAATGGAGTACAGTTTGGGCACCATTACACCCTTCATTTTTGCTTCTAAGGAGCTCAGACTCAATCCAGAGACACAGTTAGCGCTCCTCAAAATTTGTTCACCCTACCAGCCTCTTTCAATCTGATATTACATGACACTGGCTTTGATGGACTGGTGAAATGTGTAACAGGGTCCTGCACACGACTAAGTCTCAAGAAAAGCAACCAAATCTGCAGTTTCTTGCAGACTCCCTTTGTCTTCTCAAGCCGGTCACTGATGTAGATGCCAAAGCACCTATATCACTGTACAGTCTCTCCTTGGTTGGGGGCAGCAGTCTGATGTCCACCACCAGCTTCTCTGTCTTTCTGACACCAAGCTGTGGGTTGTTCTTCTTAACCCCCTTAATAAAAGTCTCCACCAGACTCCACCAAACTACTACTATAGCAGTAGTTTCTCAATCATAGACTTTTAACCAAAACCATTATCATTAACGCCATTTGTCAAGTTCTTGTGTAACACACTTTCCTCAGGTTAGCTAAGTGGGTCAGCTTCTAAACTTGTTCTACAAAATTAAAAATGCAGAATATTACATCCGTTACATGCTGCAAGATTTTGCATTACAGCTTGGGCATAAGAAGCTCACAACAAAACAATTTTGTCCTGTGCAAGTCAGTTAGACGCTCTGTGGAAGATGGTGGCCTTTCTGGCTGAAAAGAACTGAAATGCGGAGTGTCAGCATTGCCCACAGCTGATTGCTGATCAGGAGGGAAGTAGCCCTGTAAACTGTCTGTTAGTGACCCCCAGTGGAAGAACGTGCTAACAATTTCAGCTCCATATGAGGCGTCATATGTAACACCATGTATCCAGCTGGCTGAAAAGATTTAGGCGACTACAGTAAGCACGGTAAGTAAGTCAACTAAAACTGAGGCAAGTTTTGAACTGAATCAAAATAAGTTTTTATTCTGTTGATGCTGGCAACCTGACAAGAATTTATGAATGGAAAAATATCCGGTGTAGATTGCATGAAGTGATCATTGCTTAGGATCTTGCCTTTTTCTCCCATAAACAGAATGCAGGATATGTAAAAGGCCTTAAATTATTTCCAGTATGTTCTCCAGGGGCTGGGCCTTGTGTGGAAAATCCTTATGAAACACCCATCTTTAAAGTTTACCTTTCTGTCCCTGTGGTGCACAGGGTGGGATCTACGTGCTAACCCTACTGGACACGTATGCTGCGGGGACATCTATCCTCTTTGGGGTGCTGATAGAGGCCATTGGGGTTTCCTGGTTTTATGGTGAGTCATCTGCCACTTACTGGCAAAGCCTGGCGTAATCAAGGGTGCTGCTCTTGCTTGACTCTTAAAAACAAAGAAATTAAATTTAAAACAGACCTACTGAATACGCCTTACAAGCCGTTGTGGAATGGCGCGTGTTGTGAGGACATGTGGCTGCGCAAGAAATTTGAACCTTAGATTTTAATAAAGTGTGGGAGTACTGTATGTCCCCAAGACTGGCTTCTTCCAGAAGAGGATCACTGAACTGGATCCTTCAGCAGTGTCCTGTTGGTGATACAGTCTTCAGCAAACACACTGGGGGCAGGGTGGGGGGTGCTCTGTGGTTTTTCTCTGGGGTCATACACTAAAGACCCCTGTGCTCTCCTCTGCCTTCAACACATCCCCTTTTCCCTGGACCTCTAAAAACCTCAGGCTACAGCTGACATTTCTACCAGCCCTGAGATGTGGCTTCCTGTCGCACCCCCACCTCCCCCAGCACCAGCTTATCTCCTGCATGCATTTTCACTCAGAGAGCAGATAAAAAAGCTTCAGGAAAAGAAAGTGGAAAAGAGTGTTTAAATCCGTTTCCAGCCTGAAAGCTATAAGCATTTTGAATGGCACTACGTTTGAATTTTACACAGCATCTACTCAGTGCTGGTATTTTTGTTTCTTTCGGTAAAACAGCACTGTGGCCTCAGTGAGTTCCACAGTGGGTGTGGGTTCAGTGCTCGCCGGAGCTCCAGTGGATGCGTGCTCTTTCTCCGTTCATGTTTCTCCTTCGTACTCCAGTTTCTTGCTGCAGTTAATAAGGATGAGCTTTAGACTGATTAGTGTCTGTAATCTGCGTGCGGTGCGTGACTGTGTTGCTGAACGTATGCTCTGTGAGGGACTGGCCTTCATCCCGGGTCCCACATGTTTCCCTGGATGGTATCCAGCTTCACTGGAAACCTGCAGTAGATTAGTGATTGTGGAATATGCATGGATTGGTACTTTATCCCCTAAGCCCAGTATTTAAATATCAGAAAAACTGGATAGTTATTCTTGTTTGGGCCGATGCAAAAGTGTGCTGAAGATATGAAAAACACTAGCAGCCCTGGTTACAGTCTGGTTAGTGTATTATTGAGATGCAGCTCAAAGCTACACATCTGTATTCTTGTTGGTTTTTGTGCCTTTTGTGCCATAAAATCACATTGGATTGTTTTCTTTTCGTATTTAATTTTGTCATTTAGCTTTTGTTTTCAAAACCTGACATATTTTCGGTTAATTATAGACTGTGTGAGTGTTTTCATGTGCATGTTGAAGGTGAAGACCTTTCCAAATGGGTCCCAGAGTTTTGTATCCCACTTAACATAGATGCCTCTGTGTTTAAATCCCCCCCCCCATACAGGTGTGGACAGATTCAGTGAGGACATCCAGCGTATGATGGGTTTCAAACCTGGTCTTTACTGGAGACTCTGCTGGAAGTTTGTTAGCCCAGTCTTTCTGCTGGTAAGACCTTCAGAGGGAAGGTGGTCTAATGGAGAGACGTACAAACACACGCTCCTTCAGATAACATCATCACATACATATTTCTGTATCTGCTGTATTTTAAAACAACATTAAAGGTCGCAGAGACTAATTAAACCAGTACAGGAAATGATTTTATTACTATGATATTCTACCAATGATACATTTGTTTTGCTGTATTATTTGGGTCAAGGAGATTAATTACTTAGGTTGTGTTTTTATAGTAATAAACTCAAATGGTGTGTGTGGACAAGCCTGTGTTAAATTGCTTCTATAAATAATTCATATTGTTTTTGCAAATATGCATCACTGTTGGTGTGTGTTTCACTGTTGAAAGGACCCTCTAAAAGTGAGATATTTCTTTTTAATGGCATGCTTTAGTTAGGGATTTGTTATAGTTGGTAATGGTATTTACTGATGCTGTTTACAGCTATGTCCGGTATTATATACTAATTATTTGTGGGATTTCCACCTTATTTTTGTGTGTCTCTGCCTTCACACTTCACAGTGCTTTATCCATCAGCAACACTTTTCTGCTGACTGGAATGGCTCTCAGGTTCATGGGGTAGGAGGTTTCCAAGTGGTTCTTCTAGGGATCCGTGCCCAGTAGCCATGTTAGCAACTAGCTAACTCCCTCGCAACCACTCCATCCAGCAGATTATGATGCTGGGATGTAACATAACTGACAGCTCCTAAGGGAAGCATCGATTCCTGCAGCTTGGTAACGAGAGCTTCTGACTCGCGTCCTGTGCGCTGTTCAATTTTCACAGGGCCAAGCTGCCTCTGCCTGGCCAGGGCGCATGTTGAAAGCATTCGCTCCCTCTTTATTCTCCGGCTCATGTGAAATCCAGAATGACAGAAGTGGATTGTGGTCAAGTAAATGTAACATGGGACCAGAGGCTACAAAGTTTAGAAGAAAACTGATAAAAGCATACAGGGAACAGGAAACAATGTCTTTATAATTTATTAATTTGGAGTTAGTGGGACAATTGGCGCTTTGGAATACTGAGAGCCGTATTAGAACTCCGTCTATCACACGTGTCCTGTTGTGCCCCAGACACCAGCTGGGCTTTGCTGGGACACCGGAGAGTTGGCATCTAAGCGATGGAGGCTGACAGCCCCGGGCACACATTTGGACAGGAGCCACTGGTCACAGAATCCGTCCTCCTGTTTTGGCCATTTTTTGATGTCCCCCTTCAGGGGACAGTTGCAGCCCAAATATTGATATTTGTGACACTAGGAGCTGTAAGGATATAACATTTCAGGATGAAGTCAGGATGTGTCTAGACACAAAATGAATGGCATGTGTATGTTGTAAAGTAAACAAGAATCAGTGTGTTCCCACTGCTTCTAAGGATGAATTGGGTTGGTGAAGTACTGTACAGACTTCTGTTTTGACCAGACATATTGTGTTCTCCCCGGTCAAAAATAATAACTGGTGTTTTATAACTTTGTCTTTCAGTTTGTGGTGGTTGCCAGCATTGTGACTGCCCCTGGTCTGAAATACGACGAATATATATTTCCACGATGGTCCAACGTGGTTGGCTGGGGAATAGCGATGTCATCGATGCTCTTTGTTCCTGCTTATGCCATCTACAAGTTCCTCAGCATGCCAGGAACAGTCAAAGAGGTTAGCTGGCAAGGATCCCCACGTTCCCTATGCAGTTTTTAGTCTAGGGGTGTTATAAACCTGGAGTATTTCACACTGGTTCAGTTTTTCAGCAATATTTTAATGATGTTCCCTTGACCTGGGAAACCGTCATAGAAGTTTAGGCTTGCAGTAAAGTACAGCTGCGCCAGTCCCATAACCTGAGGAATATTGGCTGGATATCTTGCTGGCATATTCACGATTATGATCAAACGGTTAGATTTTTGTTTTTTTAGCATTGCAACATTAGCTTTTTTTTCCTAGTCCCCTGTAACGTGCCTGAATTACTCAAATCGTGGGAACTTTTTCCCATTATGTTATAGCCAAGTACCGTTATCAAACATACATGTAGTGAAATCTTTTATATTCTAGGAGAAAAATGTGGAATATTGTGGACCAGATTTTCAGATTTCATTTAGTTTCGTTTTAGCTAATTTAGTTTGCTCAAAATAAGTGGGGGCTTCTCATGGAGAAGCCAGCAGACCATGAGAGTGGTGAGGGACCTGAGCGTTCTTCATGATGTGTGTCATTGCAGAGGATGGCTTACTGCCTGACTCCGGAGCATGAGCATCACCTCGTGGCCGAAGGCAGCATCCGGCAGTTCAAGGTGAGTCTGCCTGTGCTGACAGCTGTCAAATCGCGTTCACAAGATAAAGTCCACACAGAAATCACGCTTAATTGTGTATAGTAGTGTGCTTTGGCTCTTTGAAATCTCAAGGGGGGACGGCTTTCTGTTGGGGAAAAATACAAATGGGGTAGAACTTTAAAAAGTACATCCTGTGCCAGTTCCTAATGGTAAACATGTATACTGAGAGCCTATTATTATTATTATTATTATTATTATTATTATTATTATTATTATTGATGTTGCTGTCGTTGTCGTCTATAAGTTTTCACTTGCCCGACATTTAGCCAATGAAAGTGAGCTCCATGGACATTCTGATTTCAGCTAAAACACTGGTTGGCCATTTGACTTGGAGACAGCATAGCTACGAATAAGCCTGTTGGGACACTGAAGACGTGTTGATTCTGCAGCCTGCGCGGGCGTATTCCCAGGGACGGCGATGGCTGGCCGTTCACGCAGCTGCGCTTGAATACTGCCTCACTGCCCCAAAAGTGACACCATTCCTCCGTCCACAGATGACTAAAGTCTGGGATCCGCTTTAATGGGAAATTCCCTTTTCTGTTTTATGCTTTTCTAATTTTTTTTTGCTAAAATTTTTAGCTGTGTAACGTGTTTGTGGTCAATACAAAATATAGACCAAATCAATAGTACTTCTCGGAGGTCTCCATTAAATGTGAAAACAATCACCCTCCATTCATCTTCATCTTGCAATCTGCTGAGAGCCCTACTTTGATAGACAGTAAATGTAACTATCTGTTGGAGTTCCATTATTATTATTATTATTATTATTATTATTATTATTATATTACATGGTTATTTGCTGAATGAAGATGGGACCTAACCAGTCTGCCATTCTGTAGCGTGTTAGGTAATGCAGGGAAGACAGTGGCAGTGTGTCTGATTGATTTCAGGAAAGTCTGGCTTAGCTCCTGTGGTGATGAGGCCCAAACTACACTTGTTTCAGTAAGTTTTGAAGGTGATAACCAGGGCTAACACACAGGAAAGTTGAACGTGGAAGTCTGTACAACCTTTTGCCTTCTCCATGCCCTGTTCGCTAACCAGAATCTACTTTCCTGTTCCTTTTTACGTACTGCGATCTACAAGGAGAGCTTCACTGAGCATCTCTGTTCTCCTTTCTCTCTTGAAAAGAGAACAATTTGACTGCAACAGTGCCTTATCAAGCAAAATACAAAAAGAAATCTTGCAAACTCCTCAATATTTTGTTCTCTATTTGACTATTCTTTAGGGAATTCAAAAAAGTCTTTGTTCCTAGTAGTGCAGATACCTTTTTTCTGTAGAGTCATGATAGGAAGACATCCTCTCTCCTGTCAAAATAGATGTCAGTTTTTGTTGATTAAAGTCTATTCTATTCACAGTGCGACCGAGAGTGAGACGTATCATCAGTTCATATGTCATTCAGTCGTCAACCGGGGCCCCAGGTACTACCTTAAAAGAGAAACTAAACTAATTTCTCTTTTTCCACGGGGGAGTTCCAAGAGAAACTGATGTTCAGATGATTTCATAGCTGTCAGGTGGATGTTTTATTTAATATCCTATGCCGAGAGAAGTGATGGCTTCCATCTAGTTCCATATTAAGGCAACGCAAGCTTCCACTCAGTAGTACAGTTCTGGGGGTAGCAGAAACATGAACTGCCAGAGCGTTTGGTTCTGATAAAACACAGTAGAGGTACCAGTTTTAAGCAGGATGGTTGCATACATTTTTGTATATGCAGCTTCCATAATTACCAAGTAACCCAATTACCAAGTTACCAAAATATTTTTATCTACAGCTTTTCTCTTGCTTAAATGTGCATCTTTGAAGAGTGAGTTTCCAAAAGTCACTCAGGCCACGGGACATGTTTTCGAGAACATTTCTGTGGACTTTGTGTGTTTTGGAAATTTAATGAGAGTTTCTTCATTGGATTGCATGAGGACTGAATGGGTTTTGGTTGCCAGCACTGTAACATATGATGTGGTGACCTGACTTTAGCAGACTCTCAGAAACATCAAACAATGGACTGTGCGAGTTTTGGAAATTTGCTCTTCAGTTGCTAAAAGAAGATATTTCTCATTTGCAATGTAGCCCAGCACAAATTTGATTTGTTGCCCAGTGAAAGTCAAATTTATATCATTTCGCAATTTCAGGGCTTTATCCCAGTGCAACATACTTCTGACACCAGTTCACTTCATTACACTGATCTTTAGCACTGGAATGGCATACAATGCAATACATGCAGATGGCCAAGGGTTCGAGTTCCTTCTGGAACATGCTTCTTCTTTTTAATTGACTGTTTGTTTGAAACCTAAATTGTTGTTATCTGTTGTATATGGTTGCTAATCACTGTGAACTGTTTCAGACTGTTAGGGAAACTGCCTTGTTAGTAACATATTATGGTACCATAAAAATGAATTCTACAGCTTCCTTACCCTTATAACCATTGTATTACATTTTCTTTATATTCCATCTGTATTACCTCCAAATGTTACTGCCTTGTCATTCTGCTTTATGTTGAAAACTTACTTTTCTTCCAAAGACAACGCTTGTGTAGGAGTAGTTGTGTGAACAGGTTTTACCGTCTTCTGGGGGCCAATTTTTATGTGTAGTGACATAGCAAACTATGAAAAAGCAGCCATTATTGGCATGATTTTTTGGTTTTTGAGAACAAAGAAAATGCCAGGTTTATCGACTTTCATCTCTTACCGAAAGTTTTGAGTTAGGGATCCTTAATTTCTTTCAAATAGGAATCCCCACCTAACTTATATGTGTGTGTGTGAGTAAATGTAGCTGTAATTATTGTCATCAAGCCATCTTGCATGAGCCCTTATCCAGCACAGGGAGAGAGTGAGCCTGAGAGTGACAGGAAGCAAAGGGCACAAGGTGCGGATTATCTGGAAGGGATTAGTCACACTTACCTTGTAGGATTGTCACGTTCTTTCTTTTTTATTGAACAAAAGAGGGAAAAAAAATCTTCGCAACCAAAAAAATAAGCTCAGCAGTTTTAATTCCATACTTTCCAAAAATTGATCCTTGTAAGTTTTTGTTTCATTAAAATATTAAACTTAAAGAAAATCTTCTCACTAGATACTGTACGACACAAGCCACACATATCTTACATGGCAAATATATGTGTGTTCAGAGTTATAGATATATTCAAGCAAATATAAAATATATTCTTTTGTTATATAATATATATAATCTTGTATTTATCAAATTGTTTATAACAAAACGTGAATGTAAAGCATTTTAAATGTAAAAGTCTACTGTTATATCATGGTGTTTGGTGTAGGTGAGACAAAGTATTTAAAAAATGTACCTTCACTGTAACCTGGGGCCACACTGACACAAATGTTGAAATAAACCCCAGAATTACAGAGCTATGTTTACAGAATGTTGTGTACTATACAAAGTCCTGTTGAAAGTGAGTGAAAATGATCTATACAGAAGTCAAAATATGCACACTATGCCAATAAAGAGTTTTCTCATCCACCTGCGGCTAAGGATAGTGATTTGTTTGCATCTTTGTCTTTATGGTAATTCTGTCCAGGGTGGATCTGGGAAAGGAGTCAGGTTGGGGGGAAGGTGGGGGGATGGGGGTCAGGTGAGATGGAAACGGGGTCAGGTGACGGAGAAGGAGAGGTCAGGTGACAGAGAAGGAGAGGTCAGGTGACAGAGAATGAGAGGTCAGGTGACGGAGAAGGAGAGGTCAGGTGACAGAGAATGAGAGGTCAGGTGACAGAATGAGAGGTCAGGTGACAGAGAATGAGAGGTCAGGTGATGGAGAAGGAGAGGTCAGGTGACAGAGAATGAGAGGTCAGGTGACAGAATGAGAGGTCAGGTGACAGAGAATGAGAGGTCAGGTGGTGGTAAAACGAGGGTCATAGGGTGATTCTCAATACCAAGAATGCAAAGAACGAACATGGGGGGCAATGAATCATGGGATTGGTGTCGCTCGGGAAGGATGCAACCGATGCATCCTTCACATTTGGGACAGGGCAAGAACAACATCCAGGGGTTTTTACCATCTTCTGTACTTATATTCCTGAGTATTGGGACTGGTCTTCGGCAATAGAAGATGACGTGAAACGGGTACACAAGTACAGTCAGGTACTCATATTGAGAAACGTCCCTAATGAAAAGCTGCTCAGGAGAATGAGGCAGGCTGGTCAGATGATAGAAAGATAGAGAAAAGGGGACAGGCTGAAAGAAGATCAGGGTGAGTAAGAGAGGAGCCCAGTTTGGAGAAAAGAGTGGAATGAGAGATAGAGATGGAGGGTGGGGAATGAGGAAAGAGCTGTAAATACAGGTCTTTCTCCAGAAGTCTTGGTGCTGCTAATTTACTGCAGGTAACCAGAGAAACCCTCCGAGGACGTCTTTCCCCAGCACAGGAAGTGCTATCATTGCCGTGCGAAGGTCTAAGACCACCACCCAGCCCCTCCTCCCCTTGGCCGTCCTGGAAATCCGGAGCTTTCATCTTGTGAGCTTTTTGTGCGGCATGTTTCTATCCCCTTATGTCCATTTATATTTTCCTCAGTAGAGAAAAACACCATTGAGTTACATTTTATGACATTTGGCTTACGAAGATCAAAGTCTTTACCAATGAGAAAGTGAAGGCCTGGATGACTCTTAAGCCTGTGTTCTGATGAATGTGGATAATTTATCCGAGTCTTTTCTTGTCATTTTTCTATAAGAACCGAAGACTTGTGGCAATAGTCTTTACGCGTGACTGAAAACCAAAACACTTGGCACAATTCAGCCTTTTTATGTTACTAAGCTCATAGTGGACAGCTGATGTACATGATGTACAAGAACAGCATGTTAAAGCCTGTTTTCTCTTCTGTAAAGGAAGTAAGAGGATTTCTCATCCTATGCTCCTAATCAAGGAAAACGTGTGCCTTGTCTTTGCAGTGCTGTATGAAATTCATCATGCCTGCTAGTGGAGGATGCTGGGAAATTCCCTCTGACAAAAGAAGCTCTGCAGTTCTAGCTAAGGTCCCTAAGTAAGGTTGATGCCTTCATGCTCTTACCTCTTAACCAAACAACAACAAACAAACATGCTTTATTTGACATGTACAGGTACATTGGAATGTTTCTCTTTGTTGACCCCATCTTGCTCTCCATAGCTTGGGGGTCACAGTGTCCACTGGAGGGGGGGGGGGGGGGGTTTAAGGGCTTTGCTTAAGGCCCATGGACGTGTGATTCTGTTGAGGCTGGGGCTTGAACCAGGGACCTTCTGATCACAGACACAGAGACTGAGCCACTCACTGCCTCCTCTTACGTGTAAAATTACATTTATGCAGACACATCAGCCTGAAGATACAGTGTGAACAGTGACAGTGGTCACTGTTCACACACAGTAACAATCACACTAAATACAATGAAGCACAATTTCACATCCTGTGATAAAGGATATAACGTCCTAACAAAACAAATGACCCAGCACGGTGCCTCAGTGGTAATGCTGTTGTATATAACTTTGGTTTTGGGGTTTAATCCCACCTCCATTCGGTGCACGTTTGGAGTTTGCATGTTCTTCCAGTGTCCTGTGCATTTCCTCCTGTAGGCGCAATAGACTAACTGGTCTCCCTAATTTGCTTTATGTAAAAGCAGTAGGATTTACATAAAGCATGTTTGAAGATATGCTAGACTGATTAGTGCATTAGGGTTCAAAGTGAAGATTAGACAGGTAACCAGTGAAGGATGACCAGGATGAATTAGAGGTGACAAACCATGCAGCAGATTTCTGAATGAGTTACAGTGGTCTGGTAACACATGTTCATAGGCAGACTGTAGGAGATATTCTCAGGAGAGAAGGTCGGGCCGGGGCAAGCACAGGACTACCAATAAGGGGAGTGATGTGGCCATACCTGGGTTTTCAAGAGTGCCTATAGATGTGCAGAACCCTGAAATGAATAATGAGCCCCTTCAAGTGAAAGTCAATCAGTCCAAGACCGTGACATGCCTGCAGGGATCATGCCCCCTCACGGATTTCAGATGCACCTCTAGTAATTTTGTCATAGGCTTGGCAGTGGATGTTGCTAATAGTCTGCATGTTGCAGAGGTGAAATCGATAGAATCGATAGAAGCAATTCCATCATACGCAGCTGCAGTCGGTCGGTCGCTTCTTCAGGCACGCACTGATACGCTGCAGGAGTCGGTCGGTCCCTTCTTCAGGCATGCACTGATATGGTTTAAAAACATCCATACTGAAGCTGGGGGGGGGGTTACTTTGCTCAGCATGGAAGTGATATGAGAAGACAGCACTGAAAGTTCAGCATGAAACAGAAGGAGAACATCCAGCACAAAGCTTCATTGCTTTTCACTATGGACTACATCATAGAGGAACAACGCTACATTACTCCAAAATAGTTACTAATAATAACTGTAAAAACCATCTAACATTCTGTGCTTTTAAGAGATAATAATGGAATGTGCTCTAAGGGGAAGATGCATCAGGTTGTCTAGGGTGCATTTCTGCCTCTTTCAAGGGTTGTGGCCCAAACCTGAGGACCAGAAGGGTCACACATGCCTTCGCTTCCTTGTCTTTGACCTCCTTTTGGGGAGGTAGTGCTTTGCTTTCTGGTTGTGACAGACAGTCATAGTTTAAATGGCACAATGGAATGAGCCCCTCGCAGAAGCTTGGGAGCGGTCATTCAGGTGAGCCTGTGAACTGATTTAAATGACAGCAGTGACACCAGAAGTCACTGAGTAGCATTTATTCTTTTTCCTGCTTAAATGTGTCAATCTGCATCTATAAATACATATTAAAAACCCACAGTAAAGAAAAACACTGGTGTGTTCTGCAAGAAGTACAAGTGTGATTCTACCATCTGATATTGAATCTGAAGGTCTAAAAATATTAAATAAACTTACTCATTATTTCGAGTGACTGCAAGTATAAAATTAAATGTTTGTAGAAGGTTATTTTTATTACATTTCTGCATGGTCTTTTCCTTTGAGACCAAATAAACACATAACAACTTAGATGCCATAACTGATTTTTTTAATAAACTATTATGACATGTGATTAGAGCCACTTCATACCTGTGTTCCTTTGCTCAAAATAAAACATTATCCAAATACTCTATGAATTGTATTACATTGTACTATACTGTGCTTTGCCCAAGGCGGTAAAAGATTTATCTCAGTGTTTTCCTTTTATTGACTTGAATCTTGTTCTCACAAAGAGCCCAATATTTTCCAATGTTGTCTTTGTGCGTACACACAATTAAATCTGGATTACAGAATAATTCTCCCAACTCTTTAAAAGTCTGAAATTATTGAATTCTTCATGGAATCAGGCCTGATTACATCCTAGAATGAGGAGAATCTAATTACGGTACGTCCACCCAGGTCCTGACACCTGTGCAGGCATGAATAAGAGCAAAAATGCAATTTATTTGCAAGGCATTAACTAAAATGTTTTTTTTTTTGTGCTCAATAGTCCCTTGGGCTACCCAATAAATGAACATCAAAGGTTTTAGCATAAAAAAATACTTGCACTCTTTTTGTAACATTTTTAAAACTCAGCTTAGTCGTTACACCACAAGTAGAAATTACGCAATCCCCTTCTGTGACGTTCCTACAGAGGACAAAATGACCTCATCCCAATCCTTTTGCAGGTTTTTGTTAAAACCACTATGATCTAGGTTCTTCCACAACTGGAAATATTATACAACATCTGAGCAAAATGTGGTTACATATTTTTTGTGGCATTTTTGATTGAACTGTATTTAAACTTACAGTTTTAGTTTGTCATTGTGCATCTTAAATACTATTAATGCAGAGAATAAGAACTTTAGGGGTTATAGAATAGGAGAATGGTCATCCTATCCCCACGGATGTCATTATGGTTCCGAGTTACAAACCCTTGTATTACAGCCCCTAAGGGCTAAACCTATGTGTGCTTTCGTCATTCCACACAGAGGCCTGCTGGTGGGGCAGGGTCAGCCCCTGTGGTCCCACTCTGTGTCCCTTCCCCGTTTGGCCAGCAGGCGGCGCTGGTCATCTCGTCCCGTCAGGGACAAGCACCTCCTGGTTTTTATTCCAATCCATTTTCCTTGCTTATTAATTTTGCCTAATTATCCACATAGTGAATAGGAATTCTTTTCACCAAAATAGCACTGCAATACCCTGTTTGTTGAACTATTAAAAAAGATCCTGTTTTATCATTTTGCACAAACATTTTTAAAGTGGAAGAATAGGCAATACTTTACTTAAGGGGGGCAAAATAACTTAGTTACTCAGCTACTACTCAAGAGCCAATCAACATCTGATACAGTAACTGCATGAACTATATGAATCGTCATGATTGCTTGTTGAAGAACGAACGTGGGATCAGTATATAACTAACCCTTAAGGTAACATTTTACTTAAAACACTCATGTAAGATGTATTATACATACATTCATAATGCATTTTAATGCATTCATAAAGTATTATAGAGATGGCTATAACTATTTATAAAAAAAAGCATAACACATTATAGC